CAAATTTTCAATCGGAATAGAAAACATCTAATTAGTGCTCCCTACCACTTGGAGTGATGTCAGTTGCAACCAAACAAAAGCCTCAGATATGTGTGAAACACACACGGGATCCTCTAAAGCGTACGAGGCAGACACAATGTGCACTATGAAGGCTGGCCACCATACGCAGCAAGGGTTAAAAGAAATGGTCTCTGGGGTGGGCTGCCTGTTCGCGCGGCAAGAACAGACCTAAAAATAAATGTGGGCAGGCTGCTGACATCGGGCACCCGTGCTCTACTACACCATTCCAACGTAGCATGTGCAAGGTTGCTGCAAAGCAGCGGGTGTCTTCGTGAAGCCCTTTCACCCCAAACCGACTCCAATCCCAAAATCGTAGACGATATGCTCCCAGAGGATTCTTACATCAATAGAGTGCCCAATGGCACGGCTGGAACATGCACGAACATTCTGATTTTTTTTTATTATCTGCAGAACAGTTCTGATGTTAGTCACCACTTGAAATTTATAAAAAGTTACAATAATGCTGTCAAATGCTCACATTGTAAAACGATGATATGTACAATTTAAGAAACCACATTTGTGCCGGTTTAAATAGCATTGCTCATAGTGGCTCCACAATTTATTGGAAAAATTGCTATGTGCATTGGACTGGAATGCTTGCATGTCAAACGATATGCCCTAAAACAAAAAAGGCAATTAAGTCAAGTGCAAAAACATCAGTGTGCAGTATACCTTGGCACAGAACACGTGTCACCTTGTGTATGATTCAAAAGCATGCCTATTGCAGAAAAAAACTTTATACACCGACACACCAAGATAACATCACTGCAAAGTGGCCAGGTGGCTCAGAGGTCAGAGCATTGCGCTGGCACTGCTGAGACCCTGAGTTTTAATCTGGGCAGACGTCTGTGATTACACTAGGTTCTCAAGTTCAGTGAGTTGCATAAAAAACCCATCACATTAACTATGGGTCTATGATCAATTTGGTTACATTGTGGCTCTGGGAATTTAAAATATCAGTATGATTTCAATCTGACGAACATTACTCTAAGTGGCAGAGTGGGTGGGATAGTGCTGCCCTCTACTGCGTAGAACAGAGGTCACAAAGGGATCTCTAAGGTAGCGCTTGTGATAAGTGCTGCCCATGAGCTGTTCTCTAAAAAAGGGTTGTACTCCTCGACGAGAGATCTGAAAGGATTATTTGTTTCACAACATGATGCATATATCGCAAATGGAAAAAAATTGGAAATATTTTTATAGGCATAATTGCACTAAACGTTTTTATCTGGTTGCATTGATGGGTTATCAGATGTATAGTGATGTCACATTCAGTACCATCATTATTTTAGCTGTAATTTTTTTGTATTTTTCCCCATAAACAAAATCTCAAACTCATGCTAAACATCCAGGAAAGCACAGCCTAGAAATGTATCTGCAAGAGCTATTTGGTTTTTGGATTACATCTTCCTTTAAATCCTAAATAATTTCATTTTCACGAGAAATAGTTCGTTAGTGTGCGCACAGTTCAGTCTGCTGTGCAGCTAAGGCCCTGGTGCCTTTGTAACAGTGTTTCGTTGGAGATGGCAGAATAATACATCAATCAGTAAAACATTTACAATTGCCATTCAGCCGATGCATTAATGCATGTCCATCAGCATTTTTTTTTTACTTACAGACCACAAGACAGCCCATGGAGAATTGACACTATAATATGGACACAATGTGAGATATTGCACGATCATATTTTAAACAAAGTAACATTGATAATATGCGCACGTTATTAGTGTGAACACCCTTTTGTTGGAACTTTGGTCACTCTAAATGTAGCATGTCTATTAATAACCAGGATACACTTTCTGAAGGCGACCATTCCTCTGAAAAGTTGACATCTTATTTTCCGCTCAGTCACGTAATATCTAATTTAAATTTTCATTTCAGCTGTTATTTTTTATAATGTGGGTTGTTTCTACATTTGAGGCATCCTTGAAACAGTTCCATACTGTGGTCAATTCTGTCAATAATCCTTCATGAATCGTCATGACAACACAGTACTGCCACAATGCCTCCACTTTTTGTAATCAAAGTCTTGCCTTGCTTTGCCCACCAGATGTAAACAAGCTGCACCACATTCGAATGTGAAGCCATGTCACCTGTTTGCACTTGCCATGTCTTGCAGGTAATGAAGATTTCCTTGATCTCATACCACTTGAGAGTTTCCAAATAATTATCACTATGTAGTATCTATAAATTAGAATTATCAAACGCATTGGCAATTATTTTCGTTTTATAACAATCGGAAGCATTTGTTTTCATGTAACAGTTGAACCCCCCCCCCCCCCCCCATAATATTGAATGTTCAGATTAAAGAATGCAGCAAATACACATGCTTGTGTAATCGGTACTCATCACGGGCAACAGGCTGGAGAGGGAGGCTGGAAAAGCAGTGTGGCTAATTAGGTGGCACGCAGGGTGACAAGGGCAGGCAGCAGACATGGATGCAATTCAGGTGGCTTGGCTGCATAGTTAATGTGCTGCAGGCCGTGGTCTCCTCTGTATGTGGGTTTCTATCCAAGCGTGTGCTGTGTTCTAAATCATTATCAGCGCACAATAGAAGCCACCCTTGTGTTTCAGCAGCTAAGCGAACATGCCGTACAGTGCGTGGATAATAAAATAGATGACACACACCACTATGTGCGCAGCCACACACAGGGCATATGCACAACAATATACGAACACGAATCTACAAGGGCACACACGGCAAACATGTGTAAGCTCGTACAAGACAAACGCACGAACACAAAAACGTGGATAATACAAACGGGCGTCACAAAAATACTAAGATTCAATATTTTATAGTAAAATACGAGGTCATTCAACACATGCAATAATATTGAAAAAAAATACCGTACGAAATTACGCTATATATCGGTAAGCACGTATACATCAATATGGCCATGAACACACGCAAAGCATTTACAACACGTAAATGTATTATAATAGACGTTAATTACCTTCAGTTGCAGATTTAGTTTGGACAAGTGCTATTAGCAAGCACCAATATTAAGGCCCGTATACCACGCACATCTCGGTGTGGCCAGGACTAGGAACATAGATGATACAAATCCATACAAACCCGTGTACATTTACATCCATACATTCACGGGACGAAACCACACACATCGACACACATTCAAACCTTCTCGTACCCACACACACGGACAAACGAACCCACACAAAAACAAACCAATATGCCACCCACACGCAAATCAGTCCACGCACTCAAATATAAAGATTCCCCGTATAGTCTAAACTGAATGTTAGGGCAAGTGTTGTTAGCGAGCGCCTATTAAGACGGGCCGGGCGTGGCCAGCACCACGCCCGGCCGCCTTTGTCTCCCTCGTGGAGATGTTTACACACCGCACCACATACTCATTTGAGGCAGAGTCGACCTACGGGAGGCACAGGCCCGGTTCGGATAATTCGCCACCTCTCCCCACTATCTTCATTCGGGCCTTAATAGGTGCTTGACAAACACACGTTAACCCACACGCACACACACACACGTTGACCCACACGCACACACACACGTTGACCCACACGCACACAAACCCACCAATATACAACCCATACCCTCCCAACACACAATCCTGCCCCCACCACCCCTTCCTTAACGAACACACTCTCACTCAACGACCCACCACACTTGAGCCCACCCCACCAATATTGAATTCGCCACCCTCGACACACACAAAGACAACGATCCCCCGTATAACCTGCTGGGGAAAGTGCTGTTAACGAGCACCTATGAACACCGGTACGGCACACGAGGAGGGGGGGGGGTGGACAACACCACGTCGACCTAGGGGAGACCCCGGACCGGTTCAGACAATCGTCACCGGTGGTGTTGGTGGCCGTGAGCCGGAATCGAACTCGGGTGGCCGGATTTGTAGCGCAGCGCGCTAACCGCTATCCCACCGCTCCACACACTGAACCCCACACACATACTGACCGCCCCCCCCCCCCAATCAACACTGAACACGCAAACCCCCATATCTACAGACACATTGACCCCCCCCCCCCACCAGCCATACAGACACAGAACCTCCCCGAAAATACATTCAGCCCCCCACCCCCTCCATACAAAAACACTGAATCCGCGCCCCCCTTCCCCTCAATACGCACACCGAGCCAATACGAATACGTCACCACGGCGCCTGTGCCAGGCCAGGTGCACTTGGAGGTCACGTGAAGTGTCGAAAGGTCGCGGGCAGGAGGACCACGGTGGAAACACCAAAATAAGCCCGTGATAGAGACGCACTGAACGCGTACACCCCCCCTCCCCCATACACACAGACAATCGCCCCCCATTCACTGAACCTTCTCTCCCCACTGCTATTGAACACTGAATCTGCCCCCCCCCCCCTGCCGCCAAAAAACACCCTTCAACACTCAACACGCACAACACTTAAGCACCCCCCCCCCCAATACACATCATATAGTGACACCCACCTCAAGATCAATCACTGAATCCAGCCTCCCCCCAAAGATCCTCCGTATAGCCTTTAACATACCGCTGGAGCAAGCGCTGTTAGCGAGCACCTATTAAGGCTGGAACCGGCAGACGAGGGGGGTGGGTGCCAAACACCACTCCCGGCCGCCTTTGTCTCCCCAGTACTGATGTTTACACCACGAACCAGGGTACTCATTTGAGGATGAATCGACCTTGGCGACTCCTCCCAGCACGGGTTCAGGTATTCTAACCCACATACACAACAACGAGCACACAGACCACACACAACCACAGACACACAGACACACGCACACAGACAGACCGCCTCGACCCCGGGGGCCGCAGGGCGCCAGAGTCGAGGTTAGCGCTGGGGCCGCGCGGGGCCGCCTCGCCTCTGCCCTGCTCCGACGCTGAAAAAGGGGAGCCAACGTTCCGGACAGCTCACACTCACCACCATCATCGTCATCATTATCATCATCAGCAGCAGCACCTGCGCTATCAGCATCAGCACGGTGGCGGCGGTGGTGGCAGCTCCGCGCTCGGCTCCCAGCAGCAGCAGCAGCGAGGCCCGTGACGTCACCGCAACATGCGGGGCTCTGGAGGTGTTTGGACGACGTCACCAACGCCGTGACGTCACCGCGCACTGCTCACAGCGGGGTGACGTCACCGCGCACTGCTCACAGCGGGGTGACGTCATACGCAAAGTTGTTATTTTTTTTATTGGTTTAACGCGTAGGCTTTCGCGACTAATATCATCCATAATATTCTGCCGCGAGCAGAATATTAATTTCTGGATGTTCTGCCGAAAGAAAACGCACGCTGATCGCCTATCTGAAAAGTCACACCATCACCACGCACATAAATACTCTCTCATCAAGACGCTCATACATCGGGCTAAGAAAGTGTCAGATGGTGACAGTCTGAGAAGTTAAATTAAACATGTTATAGAAGTGCTAGATTTGAAGCTTTCGTGACTGCAAGGATTCATACTCTTAGGTTTTTTCGGTAAAGTCACGTAGGTTAAAAGAAGTAATAATAAATAAGAATAATAGAAATCATAGAAATAAAATAATAAATCACAGTTATTTATTATTTTATTTCTATTATTTCTATTATTTTAAATTTTTACCTACGTGACTTTACCGAAAAAACCTAAGAGTATGTTAAATAAGCGCTGCAATTGAACGGTTACAATGATACACAAATCAATAGGGCACTGAATGCCAAACCAAATCAAATAACACAACCGTGGAAACTGACCAAGTAATTAAAACTATAAAACAATAACGTACATTGAGGGAGTAACTGATAAACTAGCCAGATGTTTGGAAAAACAAAACATCCGAGTCAGACTTGGCACGGTACATAAAATACAGAAATTAATACTGGTAGGAACCTCCTGGTTACACCAGCCCACAGAGGATTATTGTGTCCGTCGTGCAGGGAGGGGCTGGGTGGGGAGGGGAGGGTGGGGAGGGGCTGGGTGGGGAGGGTGGGGCTGGGTGGGGAGGGGAGGGTGGGGAGGGGCTGGGTGGGGATGGTGGGGAGGGGCTGAGTGGGGAGTGTGGGGCTGGGTGGGGGGTGGGAGGGGTGGGGCTGGGTGGGGGGTGGGAGGGATGGGGCTGGGTGGGGAGGGGCTGGTCACCCCGTGGTGCCCTTATAAAACTCAACATTTAACCTACTCACGCCGGCTTGTGCCCGCCCTCACAGTCGGGCATATTTGCGGAATACACCACGCCGCCGTTGACCCTGGCCATTGACCGAGCAACCCAACGTTCCTACCAGCTCCCTCCGCAGGAATGTGTTATCTGGTACAAAAGATGTATTACCGAAGCTATCAACAGAAGGTGTGCACCGGATTAATTGCACGTGTGGCAAATGCTATGTTGGGAAAACAGGACGAATGATCAGAACGAGACTAAAATAACACCAAAGGAACATTAAATACTCTCAAATACAACTGTCAGCAGGGGCAGAAGACGCGTGCCAACAAAGACACTCAATTGATTTTGATAATGTTTAAGTTGTGTGCAAAACTAGTTACTACTAGCCAAGACTAATTAGATAATCTATAGAAATTGAGATAAATAAAAATACGTTTAACCGTTCGGATAGCTATAGGCTTAGTTCTGCTTGGAAGCGAATAATCAAGTAATACATTCATTACTTTTTGGTTCTTTCGGTAAAGTCACGTAGAAATAAAATAAAAAAATAATAGAATACGACATTTCTATTGCAACACAAGCAGTCGTCATCAGGTAGAACTACATTTGAGAGAGAGACAAAATGAAAGCTTCAAATCAAGTTTGAACCACCTCTACGGGGAGGGTGTAAGTTTGTTTTCTCTCTCTCTGCGTCTCTGTTTGTCAAATTTCACACTTAACTTCTAATTTAGCAATCTCTGGAGAACATACTCAACCAGACTATGCGTTAACTGTATATTTAGCCAACTCTCTGCGGTGCATTGCATTACATTTCCAAAAAATAGCTAAGTTTGTTTTCTCACCTGCCTATTTCTCGCTCTAACAATTTACCAGGCTCTCATCGGTCCATTCGTTGTTTCTCTCCCCCGGCCGCTTCGGGGTGGATTTCCACACAGCTCTCTCAATGACATGCTCATTTCTCTGCTCCAGCAGACTGTTGTCTCTGTCTGTGTGTCTCTGTGTCTGTGTTTTGTCTCTCTCTCAAATTTAATTCTACCTGATGACGACTGCTTGTGTTGCAATCGAAACGTCGTATTCTATTATTTAATTTATTTAATTTCTACGTGACTTGACCGAAAGAACCAAAGAGTAATTCCTGCAATCACGAAAGCTTCAAATCAAGTAATATTGTGAAAATGCATGCCTATACAGGTCACCATACTTCAATAGGGATTACCCTTGAACAATGACTGGTATGGCTATTTTAGTGCACACATTCAACAGGAGGTACAAGAACAATGGGCTTTAATAATGTGCATGCATAATGTGCTTTTATTAGCATGCAAATAACCCAACCGGCAATGCATACCCATAGTCATTTATATGCATTCATTAATCCCCCCCCCCCACTTCGCACAAGAACAGCACACCAGTGACGTCATCACATCTACCCCTCTCTTTAAGGAACAACAGAGGAAGATTTCTCCACAAATCTGGCTGTCGCCTGATAAAGCTGGTTGTAATTACTGGCGAAAGGTCGTACTCAGATTGTAAATGTTGTGGCTTTGCTCTCCAACACACCAGTGTGCTGTACTAGTAACTATTTGGTTTGTTCTGTTTATGTGACAAACCTTACTAATTGGCTGTGTCGGGTGGTGGCGGGTTTAAACGACACATTTATATATTTGTAATGATATGGTGACACCTGCTGGCCGGGAAATGGAATCACGGGTATGGGCACGGTTAAAGTAACTACCAATCAGAGAAGGAGAGGTATCTGGGGCAAAGGTAACAGGTGGGGTTAGCCGAGATACTCCGGGAACCTGCTTCCACGAGAGGGCGTGGCCGGAGGCAGGGCCGAGCCACGCCTGGGGGGATATAAGGGGGGGCGGACCCGGGGCTCGGGGCTCGTGTGTGGAGTCTTGGGTCTTGGCTGCGTAGCTGCTCGCCGATATCTCTCTCCGTCGTCCGGCCACGTGGAAGATCTCGTGCAGGGTTTCCATCGCCGTCATCGTCACGCCGGCCAGCCAGCGGCGTAGCCGAGTGAGGGCGGTGGGACCACGCCGAGTGAACGGCTGTGTGTAGCCAGTAGAAACGTTAAAATCTAAGGGTTGTACTCAGTGAGAATGATGTGTTGGCCTGTGTTGTGCCCAGTGTGAGAAATAAAAGTACCCTCTACACGATGTGTCGCGGAAGTCGCTCATTACATATTTATGTGATCCAGGGGCGGTTTCTTCATTAGGGCGATTGGGCGACGCACCACCAATGTCATTGAACTACAGAGTCACGCTAGCCGTCACTGTGCCTCTGGATATAGTCCAATCAGCGTCATGTCACGTTCTGTGGAGTACCGCCTCTTTTTGGGCGATTTCACTCCGGCTGAGAATCACCCCGAGTGGCCCCATAGACTTACATTGAAAGATGTTTTTTTCGAACGGCGGGCGCTCCAATGCATTCTCTATGGCTTCCGGGAGGGCAAGTCCTAACGTGCTTATGTCATCATACGTGCTAACGTCATCATACGTAAGCACGTTTCATCCAACAATATAATTTATCGCCACCTAGTGGAATCTTTAATAAAATAAACTTGAGTGGTTTGTTTTAATAGTGAGTATAGAAACAAACAAGATGTATTGTAAGAGTCACTTTATTTTTCATTAATATTAAAGAAGTGAAGTTGCCTTTACATGCTTAAGCTGTTAATTTATCCATTGCATGGGTGGACCTTATCCTTATCAATCATCCAGACATTTGCCCCCCCTGAGAGATTTTGCAGGAGCCGCCACTGATGTGATCTAACCCAAAAAAAACTGTATTATGAATATTTTTGCCTTGTTTTGGTGGTAGAATGACGCCAACCAGCTAAATTATTTCATCTCTTATCTTACACTCATTCACCTAGGTAAGACTCGCCAAGTCCAGACTCCTTTTCGGGAAAGGGCCTGCCAAGTTTTCCAAATTTGCCAATGTCACTGGTTAAGCCACCATAACTCGTTTACGATTACGTCATGTTTATACCAAGCTCACTCAATGTAAATTGTACAGGCCATTTGCCAATTCACTGCTAGATGATAGACTCATCCAGTTCACCACGCTGGTCAGTATGGTCGGTGAAAGCTACGGGCATGCACATTGGAGCAAAGGGGCCGTCCATAGATGACGTCACGCGATTTTGACGATTTTTGACCCCCCCCCCTATCGTCACGACGTCACAAAAAGTCAGACCCCCCTCAAATATGACGTCACAAAAATAAAACATGTTTCAAATCGCTTTAAACTATTGTCCTTGTCGTGCGTATTTAAGGTGGCGCTGCACTCTGATGTTGTAGGAGAGAAACATTTATTAAAAAGTCTATTTAATTAAGTAGAACGTGTTGTCTATACAGTATTTATTTAAAGTTGCGCATTTTGATGTGACGTCACATTTCTCAAACCCTCCCCCCCTAGTCACGTATCGTCACAAATGTCTGACCCCCCACCCCCCCGAGGTGCCTGACGTCATTTACGGACGGCTCCAAAGAAAAAAACATGAAACGCGTGGATTTCACCCAATCAAAACCCTCCTCTGCTCCTCCCCCAAGCCAATCAGATTCGTCGCCGCGGCACAGGAGGGCGTGGCACGTGTTCCGTGTGGGCAAATCAGAGGCGGCGAATTTGTCGCGCGCAAAGCCGAGCGAACGGGCCAATCCGGCGAGGCGGCCTGCGCCCACGTGCGCGAACACGTGGGCGCAGGCCGCGTGGGGGGAGGGGTGTTGTTGTTGCGCGGCGCGTTGCTAACCCGCGCGGCTCAGCTACGGCGCTTCCCATTGGCTCGCAGCGCCGCGCGCGCGCGCGTTCTGTAAGGGCGCGCGTGATTGGTCGAGGGTGGTAAATTGCGCGGGAACGCGAGCAGCTGAGCGCTGTGGGGCGGAAGTTCTACGCCGGTACACGCGGCGCTGTGGCCGCCGCTTCGTCTTCTCGCTCGCGGTTTGGCCAAAGCCGTGAGTTGTTTGGTAGCGCGCCACTCGCGGTAGGGTTAATACAGAGGCCTGCCCGCCCGCCCGCCCGCCCGCCCACACACACCATGCTGTCACCCTTGAAGGCCAAGTGCAGGGTGAAGGCGCCCGAGCGGAGCAGAGGAAGCAGCAGCGGGTGCAGGGTTAGAGGCGAAGTAGCCAGGGTAGCTGACGGTGGTGGATTTTGCGTGGGCGATGGAAGAGGTCTGGGTGATACTCAGGCTAGTGATGGCGGTGGAGGTCCACGTGAAAATGCAAACGCCTGCTGCACTGGTAAAGACGGGAGCGTGGAAGGAGGAGCAGCAGCAGCATCAGGACGGGATGTGTCCGAGAGTGACTGTGAAGACGCAGGTGAAGGAGGCGAGGACTTCCCCGAGTTGGCGGTCCTTCCCGATAAACTTCGCCAGCGGCTGATGCCCTTCCAGAAGCAGGGCGTCAGGTTCGCGCTGGAGAAAGGCGGCAGGTGGGATACTGCCCAAGCTCTTTCAACGTTGAGGTCCATCCGGGGATCCATGCTGAGATTCGTGGAGATCCACACTGAAACAAAGAGGACACATTGAGATCCAAAGAGTTTCACACCGAGATCCATTGGGGCGCGTTGATATTATAAAGGGATACACAATGAGGTCCATGGACTTTCACGCGTTCGATGAGTGCCTTTCCACAGCATTGGTGACCTAGAGTAAAGGCTGCATGTGATAATGGTGGCGCAGTCATCGTGTAAACCCTAAACGGCGATTTGGATGCACAGTTTGGCACCCACCTGCATGGAAACAATGAGCCTCTTAGGTACAGAACAAGCAAGTGGATTTGTGATGTGCACCACTCTCCTTGCTCCGTTTTCCTCCCATCAGGACGTGCATCTTTGTCCGTTGAAAGGCTGAATTTCTAGACTCATACAGGAGGGGCCTGTCTTGAGATGATTGGTCAATGTCTCAAGTGTGCACATATACTGCACTTGAGACATTGACCATGCATCTCAAGACAGGCCCCTCCTGAATGTAAATCTAGAAACTAAGCCAAACAATGGATAAAGAGACGTACAGTCTGCGTGAGTTAATAAGCGATGCCTTTATTTGTATGCGTGTTGAATTAATGGAGTTTGAAACAGAAGCCACAGCTCGGCCCTTATCCACATAAACCATGAAGGAAGTGGCCATTGCGGGGTTTTTTCTGCATTGCTTGGCCATTCAGGATGTGCTTGAGGTGTGTGGGTAGCAGAATTGAGCAGAGGGCGACGGCTAATGCAGAGAGGATTGCTTCATGCCTGCTCAAACCTCCACATTATCACCAACTATCGGTAGTCGCATGGTCAATGGTAATTGGAAGTTGTCTCATTACCTACTGCATTTACCTGAGGTGTGGACTCGAGTCATGTGACTTGGACTCGAGTCAGACTCGAGTCATGAATTTGATGACTTCAGACTCGACTTGGACTTGCATAACAATGACTTTGTCCCACCTCTGAGGTGTGGACTCGAGTCATGTGACTTGGACTCGAGTCAGACTCGAGTCATGAATTTGATGACTTCAGACTCGACTTGGACTTGCATAACAATGACTTTGTCCCACCTCTGGCATTTACCTTTCCCAAAAGTACTGAATATTAAATTTTTGCCATTGGTTTTGTCCAGAGACAAAACATTTTGTTGGGAACTTGTTCCAGATAATTACCATATCAGATTACTTTACTTTCCTGAAAAATCCAGCCAATATTTACTCCTCAGAACTGGAATACGTTTAGTTGTGTGAAAATGCAAAATTGAAAGATATTGTTGCCCCACTTGGTAACCCGGGCTGCCTCGCCATCTCCACTTGAGATCCCGGTTTAATCAAGGGCTGCTGAAACTGGATGCCGCATAATTTTTGTCCATTATGAACCGACTGGCAGAATGTTGAGAACCCCACCTACATCAGTACTATGATGTGACCCGTAGAAGTAAGGGCATACAGCAAGTCGGCTGTTATACGGGTGCACCGATTTGTGTCATCTGCTCATGCTTGGTTGATTTTCTCAGGGTACTCCAGTTTCATCCCACATGTCAAACACTAATGTAATTTACTTAAGATCCCTTTACAGGGCCCTTATATAAAATTATTCTGATAATCAGTGAGGCTTTCCTGGGTATACAAATGACTTGTATTACCTTATGTCATAATGCTGCTCACGCGGTACTGTTTATATCACACCCTTATGACAGCAGTGTTATTACCTAAATGCACTTTCAGGTCACAGGGCTTTACTGGCAAGCTCAACCAGAAGGACATGCGACACAGTACTGTAGTTATACCCAACCGTAGAAAAACAGGACATTTTATCCTGGTATTAGATAGTACTAGTGGGGTATAATTTCAGATTTGTCTTTAGCATACTACCGTACCATATCGCACTGAAGCTGAGTGACGGGGAAATAAATACTTGATGTACTCAGTTTTTAAAAACCTGGAGATAAACACGCAGAAATTGATTGCCACGTGGGAGATGCCGCACCCCTGAATTCTAGTTAAACGTGGTGTTGTTTTCCACGTCAAATAAACCCCTTTGATTCTACATAAGGCTCTGTATCCGGTTTTAAAATATATCTGTTATACCAGTCAGGAGTTTATTTCAGAGAAGAAATTCTGCAGAATGACATGTACATTTCTAGCATCAATGTTTGTTTATTAATTCCTAAATGTGATGGGAATCAATGGGATGCCACTGCGTTGCAAGATGTAATTAGTTTTTTGTTGTGTTTTTTTTAAATCGAAGTGACAACACATTGGCGAGCAATGGGTAATCCTCGAAATGAATGTCTGCATGTTTGCACACTCTTGAGATGCATTGAAATGCCACAGTTATTACTCGCGTTGCCTTTACAACTCCATTCTGCTGAAAAAATAACTTGTATTAATTATGTGCATGATTACATGATATTAATTGTATGTGGCGGTTGCTACAATTCATGTTTACAAATATAAAAATATAGCTTCTCAATAGATAATTGACAAACTGTAGATATCTTCTAAAATCTGAGTTACGGTACTGAATAATGAAGGAAAAATAGATTTATATTTGTCCAATTGTCGGCCCGCCACATGCCACAGGCGGCTTGCGCACACGAGATCAAGCACTCAGGGGTGACGACACCAATACGTCCCCAATACGTCCCCACTCGGTGCATTCAGTGGCTTTTAGTGCTCGCATATACGCACCAGCTTATCATTTGCATGTCATCTACTCACACTTAATAGTTCTGGATAGCTTATAAAGATGTAAGTTCCTAAGGCAGTGGTTTAGTAAATTATAGTTGGAGTTTAATCATTCCATTCAAAATGCAGTCTGCTTGGGACACATTAATTCAGGGCATTGAAGGGTTGTCCCTTAGCCCAGCTAGCTAGCTGCCTAGCAGCATGTGGTAGTTGATAACTAAGTACTGTACCGTTCGACCATTTCCTCTCACCGAATCCGTCTGCTCTGTAATGTTCAGACAGCGAAGTTGCAAGGTTACTCGATTGTTGTAATGATAGTATTAATTAAAAGGGGCAGATGTGGTGAGTTGCATTTGGAAAGTTGATCAACCACCGTGTTTCAGCATATTAATTCCGTAATTGCGAATATGCAAGTGCTTTAGTAACAATAGGCAGTCACATTTCAGTTAATGCGAGTCGTGTCTTACTGAATGCACGTGTCTCAAACAGGCCAGTGCGTACAGATTTGTAAAAAAATGGGTTTCCTCAAATAAAAAAAGCAATTTATACCTATGAATATTCTAGCATGCAGCATGACAGTGAAGAACCTTCAGCAGCTAATAGAAATGTACCATCTGTCTTTTATCATACTGTATTCTGTTTTCCACATTTCCCCAGATTTAGTGTCAACTCATGTTAAAGAATATTTAATGTGTTTTTTACATGCATTGTTTCAATGTACCAAATTATTTCACGTGACATTTTCTGAATATTGATACCAGGAAAGCTCACAGGTTAAATTCAATCTTATTTTAAATTTAAAAGTAAATCCTTCCTACCCATCCCAAATCGTAATTGATATTCAATTGACACAAACAGAGCACGTTTGGGCGCTATTTACATGGTACTTTATCACTGGGTTTCCAATTACAAGTTTGAGAAATGACTCCACTTACATGATTACAAGCATCTTTTTTTTCAATCGCTTCAGCCCAAATGTTATTTTAAATACAATATATTTATTTAAAGTATTTTTATCAAGGTAGATTTTTTTGTAATCATTTTTCTGTCATACATTTTCCGAAACCATCATTATTACTATTAGAAAATAATATTATTGTTCGTAGGAGCGCATGCAACTGTCTATAATGCTTGCTTCTTATATAAATCAGCCGCAGTGTCAGAGATTAGAACATTTGTCAATATTAATTGCAGTGGCATGTGCGTTGTACGTGTGTGGCTGTTCACCATTTCTCTTACTTTTTGCCACGTGGCTTTGACAAATGCGCCTGCTGTTATTGTGCATATACACATGAGGGGCTTTTGTTGGCTCTTCAGTCGACTCACTACGATATCAAATTCTTGAATTACATTTCACAAAAAAGAGTGCTCTGTATCCACGGTTACTGGAAATGTATCCCTATGTGGGTTCATGTTTAGTACATATGATAGCACTGCACAGCTGTAAAAAATAATTAGACATCAGTGGTGATGAGGAATGCTTCAATTACAGTACCTGTGGAGTAAGATAAAAAGATATAGATTGTCACATCCTTTAATCTATAACGCACTTAAACTCCCAAGAGTATTATTTGCAGAGCAGTCATTAAGCACATCATGATGATTTGGACATTTACCAAGTGTATTGGCTACGAGTCCTATTACCTTTAAATTATTCACTTTAAATCTGGTGTCTGTAATTAGAGATCCATATGCATGCTTTGATGCCACCTTTGAGAGCCCCGTACGCAAGAGAATACACAATACATTAATTGTTATGCTTGCACGAACGGGTTGAATTTGCAATAATGTGATATGAAAGGAATAAATGCTCTTTTGATTGAATTAATCAAGAGACCTATTCCTTTGCCACAGCATTGAGTTCAGCTTGTTCCTCATCATTAAGCCCCTACACTCAGGGCTGCAGGGTGTTTCCATGTATAATTTAAAATTGAAATCTGATTTATTCATGAAACTTGTGTGAATTGGTGAATGGCATGCACGGGTGCCAATGCCAGTGGACACCCTTGGCGCACCACGGAAAGAGTTTTTCCTGTATAAAATGTAATCATATAAATATAAAAGTAAGGTACAGAATACGATCATGCGGCCAAATCCATCACGTCGTTGCTTAGTGCATCCCTGCGAGGGCCAGCTCTGGACATTGATGTATATACCCTGCTGGCAGCAATCTGGGGCACCGCGGCGCAGAGACAAAGTAGCCCAACGTGTGTGAGTTTGCAATTAACCTTAACGGGAGAGAACACGGCGAAAGTGGCGATTCATTTGTTGTGCGGCAAAACATGGGCCCAAGTGGCCGCTAGCAGCAATAAATCCATGTGAATGTCCTCATTAACATTAATTAGTTTTCTATATCAAGTATCATGTGTGGTTGCCTTTGAGAGAAAGGGCAACCCTTTGTACCGTTGTTGAAAATATTTAATCACATTCATCAATAACGATGCCTTAAACGAAAATTATATGAAAGGCAAAGTTTTGGACAGTGTCCTTTCTACATTACCTTTGCTGGCTTGCTCTTCGCACAATGGAGTTGATGATGTCATCATTCGTGTGCATTGGTGATTTTATAAAAAACTGATTTTGATATTTTTTCAAAGATCATCGATGCGTTATTGCTCATGTTCATGTTTCCCTTGTTCCAGATGCATGATTGCTGATGAGGTAAGGTGTGCATATTATTCATTCTTTAATATGTATAAACCTATTAAACAACTGCATCCTTTAGTAGCTTTATTCAACCATGTCGGGATTTGGGTTAAAAAATATAATCTTATTTTGCAATCGCACACATTACATTACATTAGTTCTAATTTGAGCAAATTTTTCATTTACTTTGCACAATGAAAATGCAAAAACCTCTCAAAAGCCCAAAATAGTCGCCCACATTTTAAATTACATCCCTCATGAATTGTTGGCGGCGAATTTGTAAGTGTGAAGCCAGTGTGAGTCTGCTGCTGTGTTTTTCCACGTGAGATGGGACTGGGGAAGACGATCCAGGCCATCGCGGTGGCCTACATCTACCGCGCCGAGTGGCCAATGCTTGTCGTTGTGCCATCATCCCTCAAGTACTTGTGGATTGAGGAGTTGGAGAAGTGGGTGCCCGAGCTGCTGCCTGGGGACATTCACCTGGTGGAGAACAAAACCGATATCCGGTACTGCCAGCAATACACCTGGCTTAAAGGTCCTTTTCTTTGTCAATTTGTAATTAATAATTGTGTGTCTCCTTCCATTGCCCGGTGTTGCCGAGAATTCAATGAGTTTCCCTCGAAGCTGGCCACACTCTCATGGGGCAGCTGGCTTTGCAAGAGCATTCAACCTTTGTTTAATTTGATGCACGACTGTGCTGTACTTTAAGTGAATGGCCAGAACACAGCACAGTTGGCAAAGCAGTAGGGTTCCCAATTGTGTGATTGTGCGGTAAAATGCCGGCCAGGGCCAACTCGGCCCTTGCCTCCCTTTGGGACATTTAATACTGTACACCACCTGGTGGAAACGCACCTCTCCGCAGGAGACCATCGGTGCTTCTCCCATGGATAGATTTGTTCCCGTCACAGTTTCCATCAGAAGTCAGCAGATGTGAGCACTGCTTGGCATTTGCTTTTTCTTTTAATTTTACAAGGTAAGGCCCACTGAGCTATATCGCTATTTTGAAGAAGCAACCTGGCCTCAAATGATAGGTCAACGAAGTGGCATATTTTTTGGACATTTATTAAGAGCAGCCAAATACTCTAAACGCATGTTTCTAAATGTGGAGGGATATACTGGACGACCCGGAGAAAAATCCACACGACTACAGGGAGACTTTCAAACTCCAAATATACAACAGGTGTTAGGGTCGGGAACTAACATACAACCTTCTGCATACCAGGCGAGGTAGTTAACATCTCGCCACCACGACGAATTTGGGGACACTGGCTTCTTGACATGCCTTTTGGTACAAAACAAAGAATGTGAAAACATGACTTAGAATGGCCGCAATGCAATTCTTTAAACCCTTTAACCCATTAAACAATGTGTAAAGAGAAGAATGCCATTTTGGGTTCTCCAGCAGATTAGGACAAGAGATTTGTTTTTCACTTTCCACTCAATGCTGACACAGGTACGAGAGAGGTAAGTTCTTCATTTGAGGTGTGTGAGCACTTTTGTCCCCTGACCTAGCTCAGTGGGATCCTAGAATGGCAGGAAATAAATAAAATGTAAAACAGGGGCTGATGGCAAGGCAACAACAGTGAGCAGCTGCCACGTTCAATTTGCCAAGCTGAATGTGAAACGTGGTCATGCGAAGGTAGAGTGAATGCATTTAGGTTTTGTGCCTGCAATGTTGTGCTCTATAAACCTTCATCAGAGACTAAACATGAAAGGTTCAATGTATTTTCGTCTTTAGCTCAATGGCTAGTGCCTTGGCTCTACCCAGCCTAAAATTTATATTAAATGCATGGCAAATTTTGGGTAAGTGCCCTTCTCCATAACTGGGCAGTATTAGTGACCGAGGCATGAGGATTTTTAGTTTTCCGATTATCCATCTCTTTCAACATCGGTTCTTGCTCATTATCCATTTCTGTCAACACAGATCCTGCTCATTATTTATGTGTGGTGAAGTACACCCGTGAGCCACTGTTTTGGAGGCGAGGGTTGGTCGATAGCATACGTTTGCGAAACACCCACCCTGGCTGGGATGCTAGGTGGCTGGGAGATGGGAGTACAGCCAATGGATTCGTGAATCCACCTGTGCACACCGTTGAGAATAATCCCTTACTATGCATTTAAATCTTCGGCTTTCCTCACATGTGCAAACAAATGAAGGAAAAATAATTAATAGGACTGCCTGCAAAAAAAGTCTTGACTCAGATAAGTTTTCCTGGATACATAAATTGCATTAATATTTGTGTTTATCTGAGTTTGTAACCGAGCCTTTTTAAGGTGCACACACATGTCCGTACAACCCTTTTGTCAAACCATTGTATGTATTTATATTTATGCATGTTGAACTTGTTTCTGTGTGTTGTGGAGCCTATTTGACCAACACGGGTTTGTGGGGGTTGGTAATTCGGGGCGCATAGACGTCCAGAGCATGGTACAGTGCTGTAAAATAGTTAGCTTTACCGCCCGCGACACACACATGTCCAAGTAACAAACTAAATTGTCTCGGCTGTCAAGTAGGACTTTGCAGGCTGCGGGTAATGGTTTTTATCGCGTGTGCACGCATGGTGTGGCCAACAGGGCGGTCACAGAGAGCCGAGTAACGGTCCTGGGCTACGGCCTGCTCACGGCTGATGCCGCGCTGCTGGTGGAGGCGCTGCAGCGGCGCCGCTTCCAGGTGGTGCTGGTTGACGAGTCGCACTACATGAAGACACGCACGGCCACCCGCAGCCGCCTGCTGCTGCCGCTCGTCCAGGGGGCGCGCCGAGCACTGCTGCTTACTGGAACGCCCGCCCTCGCGCGCCCCGAGGAGGTGCACCTAACTGACCACCCATCACCCCCCCCCCCTCACACGCATCCCCCCTAACTTTTTGAATTTATTTTATTTCCTTAGTGTGTAAAGTATAACTCTAAATTATATTTGTATCCCCATTTTTGTGCTTGTGGCACCATGACCAAATCACGTGGAATGTACCCGATCACGTCAGAATCTCGACAAGCTAAGCAGGTCGGAGCCTAGACAGTGCTTGGATGTGGAACTTTCATGTACAAATAGGTTTTTATAGACGTAGGGGCTACGTGGTGGACAGCAGAGGGCAGTGCAGCAAAACCCATTGCTCTCGTGTATTTCTATGCTCCCACGATTATATTCTTCTGCACCAACCCACACAGACGAGTGTGGTGAATTATGGTCAAATAAGCCCCACGACTGAAAGGCATGGGGAGGCCTTCATCCAGCAGTAGATTGGTAAAAGATCTGTCCATGTGTAGTGGGTTCCAGGAGACTTGAGACGTCTTTAGAGGCAACACGGTTTATTACAAACTACAACAGAACTCCCCTTAACGCCCACTATCTACGGAGGTACAGCCTCCGGGCTAACGTGCCCTCACACTCAGTAACCCTGGCTCTCAGACCTCCGGCTATCTGTGCCCTAGGGGAGGCTAACTGACCCGACCCACCCCAGGGTACGGGTTCTGACTACTGGCCCGAGCTCGGCCCGGCCCTTACAAGGACGTCGGGCCCGGGGTCCCAGGGTCCTAGCTAGGCTGGTCTTCTGTTCTTCGTCTTTGGAACACTGCCCCGAGCTGTCCCAGCGGTGCCCCTTTTATACACCTCTCGGGGGCTCTCCGCCCCCGGTACCGCCCCCTCTCTGGAACCTTCCAGGGGGCCATGGAAGAAGCCCCCAACCCCTCACCTGCGGTCTGGGGATGAGAACCCGGCGCCTCAACGGTCCGGCTCTCTCTGATCTTCCCCAGTTCAGGGTGGCACCCTCTATGGGCCTGTGCCCGCAACTGCAGATAAGTATATATACCGACGGTATAAGATGTGCATAATCGACGCTACACATGCAATGTCCTCATGGTCCCATGATGTAATACTTATCGAAGACTGATGTGGTGTTTTGATTTCACAGCTGTACATGCAGATTGATGCCTTGTACCCAAATCGGTTTGGCAAGTGGACCGAGTATGCCAAGCGCTACTGCGACGCACGCATGAGGTGAATACTCTTTGCTTACCTTGGCACACGCTAAAGTGGCAATTTTATTTTCATTACCCCTTTATGAAACTGTAATGCAATATTATTATGCCTTCACATAGAAGACATTGACACGTTCTTGTGCCATTGGCGAGCTGGTTTTGCACTGCGATGGGGCGAGCGGTGGGAGTTGTGTGCGATCTCGCTCGTGCGAGCACAAACGTGCGCTCTTGCCGTCCAGGTTTTTTGGCCGCGGTCAACGGCAGTGGGACTGCAAGGGGGCCTCCAACCTGCAGGAGCTGCATGGGCGGCTCAACGCATTCATGATCCGACGGCTCAAGGACGAGGTGCTTACGCAATTGCCCCCCAAGATCCGCCAGCGCATCCCCTTCGACCTCTCCAAGGAGGCCACCAGGGTGAGTGAAATGATCGTGTAGGTGTTCACAGTAGCGCTGTTTAGATCTTGGATTCATTTTCGTGTTATATCCTGTGTTGTTTGGCATGATGTTCGACGTTTTGCTCCACGTGCTGGAAGATTCTTCAGGAACTGAATTGCAAGGTTGCTCATTAGGTTCATTTTGCATAATATATTTAACCATGGTTTTTAACCACCTGTGCCATAGAGAAACCTTAACACCATTGAATTGTTATCTTTCAGAGTTTTACATTTGTATATATAAATTAATAGATTGCTGATAATTTGTAATAATAAATAGTCAAATTAGACCATTGCAATATAGCCAGTATCCTCTGGAGGCCATTGGGGGATATTGTAATTTTCTTTGTATGAATGACATTTCCCCAAGACCGACAATGTATGCGCGGCGTGTCACCGCAGGAGGTGAATGCGATGCTGGATGAGTGGGAGGCACTGCTGAAGCTTGTCAGAAGCAACAGCTGCCCTAGCAGCAGCGTAGTGCAGGTCATGAGCCTGATTACTCGTCTTTTCAAACAGACAGCTGTGGCCAAGGTGAGTGGGGAGCTTATGCAATGTCAGCCTTTGTTACAATAATACAGAATTAATAATGGTATTATTTATTTACCCTACTGAATCTCAAAACTTTTTTCATGAGGATACTAATTGAGATATTTGGCCAATTCCGTATTGATTATTTACATTGGTTTATTAATGAACTATATAAAACCCACATGCTAAACAAAAATCCTGACAAATAAATCGGCAACCTACTCACTATACTTGTTGTACAGCCGCCTCCAGGCCACCACATGTGTCTAGCGCTTGTGATGGTTACATGAGCTACCAACCCTGCCCCTGAAGCGCTGCGCCATGCACGTGCACCGCCACGCTTCGTTTTGCCACTGTGCATTAAGTGAGACAAACTGACCATTGCTGCCTGGTTTTCTGCCCTCTGCTATCTATTGAAGCATGTTGCAAAGATGCATCAGCTAGTAAAACGGCGGCCTGGAGCTTACACACTCACTATTGTGTTGAGTGTGCGCGTGTATATATTATTTGGGTCTTTCGGTAAAGTCACGTGGATAGGTTCAAAGAAAATAACAAAAAACTACGACGTTTCGATCGCAACACAAGCGGTCGTCATCAGGAAAAGGGGGTTGGCTTCTAAAGGCAAACTGTTTATAAAGGTTTAAAAATGGGCGTTACCCAAGTGTCAGCAGCAGAAATACTCTATAGACAAGATTGAGAACTTCTGGGAGGGAACGCCTTTTTACATAGGTGGGTCTTCAGCCATAAAAAAAATTTCGTATCAATTTCCCATTTACGCAAACGTTACGCACATTTTTTACCGCAAAGCGGAATCAAATGAGAAAGACAACAAGTAAGACAACAAAAAAACACAAACAAGAGAATTTGAATCTTTAATCTTGATTCAAGTTCAAACCTCGACTTTAATTGTGATCCTCAGTTATGGAAAATGGATTAATTGCAGACAATATGCTCAGTGTTATTTTCTTTGAACCTATCTACATGATTTTACCGAAAGATCCACAGAATATGAATTCCTGCAGTCACGAAAACTTTAAGTCAAGATTTTGTGCTTGTATATATTGTTTTCTTTAAGATGTCTTGGAGTAGTTTGTTTACCAAAGGTGCGGTGTTAATTCATATGAGCCAATCACCCGAAATGTGCTGAGCACAGTGGTAACACGATATGGTTTGGATGTATGTGCTACCACAACGAAATAAAACAGGTGTAGTAGGCTGCTGTGGAACCACATTCTGAACAAGGGTGCAGATCAGCACAATCAGTTGTTTACTTTGCTCGAACATCTATGCTCCCTTTCTTCAACAGATCAGTGTAGTGAAGTATGGTCAACTTACTCCCATTAGGCGCTTGGTGTGGGGAGGCCATCATCCAGCAGTTGAAGGGCTTTGTGTGTACATTTACTGTTCATGTAATGTATTATTGTTCTTATTGTTAATATCAGGCCGGAGCAGTCAAAGACTACATCAAGATGCTTCTGGAGAATGACTCCATGAAGTTCCTTGTGTTTGCACACCACCTGGTGATGCTGCAAGCCTGCACGGAGGCTGTGGTGGAGAGCAAGGTACTGCCTCCCTCTGCACCCACTTTATTGTGTCTGGTCAGGTGAGGGCTCTGGCCTGCTCAGTTTAGATGGCAGTACAGAATTAATCAATGCCATTACTGCGAGTTGCTGATCTGTTCATAGGCTTGTTCTAGTTCCTCCAAAGTTCTTCAACATGAATCAATTATCAGTAAAGTATTGGCCGATACCTTGAGTTCCACTTTGGAGAAGGTGCACTGTACTTTGTACTCAGCGACCTGAGTTCAATTCCCAGTGACTGCTCATATCATTGGCGAGGGATATTTGAACCTGTTATGGGCACCACCTTCAGCAGCCCGTACTGACCAGTGAGGTGAGGTATGGTCAAACAATCCACATTACCAACATGGCATCCTGCAGTGGATTGAGAAATGGCTGTAAATTGTTATTACTTTTGAATATTGTTTCTGCAATTCAACATTGGTTGTACTATATATGGCTTTTTTCTTGTCATCGGAATGAGGAATATGTGCTTCTGATTCAGGACTGGAAATGTAAATTAGCACCTCCCAGTCCTCGTTTGTACAATTGGTTACAAACATTCTCACATGTAAACTTCTTTAAACAGTCTTCTGATCCACCTGCGCCTCATCTGCGTGAATAAAGGATTACGTTTACTGTGCACAGTGAAATTCCTCGCCTCCGCTCGTGCCGCGTCACACCACAGTGTGTGTTGCAGGTGCGCTACATTCGCATCGACGGGAGCGTACCAGCGGCTGAGAGGAGTCGACTCGTCCACCAGTTTCAAAACGACGCCAGCATCCGCGTCGCTGTGCTCAGCATTAAGGCCGCTGGGCAGGTATTGGAGTGCGTACGGGCATCCCCCTTAATCCCATCGCGTGGGCCGACCTCACGGCTCGGCTCGCTCATGTTTTTTTTCACTGAGCACATTTTCTGCAATTAATAAATTTTTCATAACTGAGGATCACAATTAAAGTCGAGGTTTGAACTTGAATCAAGATTAAAGATTCAAATTCTCTTGTTTGTGTTTTTTGTTGTTGTCTTGCTTGTTGTCTTTCTCATTTGATTCAGTTTTGCGGTAAAAAATGTGCGTAACCTTTGCGTAAATGGGAAATAATTGATACGAATTTTTTTTAATGGCTGAAGACCCACCTATATAAAAAGGCGTTCCCTCCCTGAAGTTCTCAATCTTGTCTATAGAGTATTTCTCTCTGGTTTCTTTTTTCTCATTTTTCTCCTTTACACGCATGGCATTCTTGAGATCTGTTGTTTAAGGATGCCTTATACATCTAAATTATTATGATTAAAATTAAGAGCAGAGCATAACCGGTGAATCTGTTGTGTACCTGGTGCTCACCTCCAGGGCCTGACGTTCACGGCGGCCACGCACGTGGTATTTGCCGAGCTCTACTGGGACCCAGGCCACATGAAGCAAGCAGAGGATCGTGCCCACCGCATCGGCCAGTGCAGCTCCGTGCACATCCACTACCTCATCGCCAAGGGCACGCTAGACTCTCTTCTTTGGGCCATGATCAACCGCAAGGTGCCTAGTCTCGCCCGGGGTGGGAGGGTTTTGCCTTGTGGTTGGAAGCGCGCGTGCGGTTGTCACTCAACCTGGGTGAGTTGGGTTACGTTTGTAATGAGTTAGTTATAAGTGGGGCAGTTCGAAATGTGATTTGAAATATCATTATTATGGACGGACGCTGTGCCGTTGCCCAATGTAGGTGTGTACGCAGTTCGGAGAATTGAAAACTCATTTCTTTAGGGCTGCTCTTCGTGTTTAGTTAGAATAGTACGGTGAGCTACGTACGGTGCAAAATAAGTTCAACATACATGCATATGTAATAATTCTATGCTTTATTTAAAGAGTACAATTTTGTAGTGAAGTGAACAGCGGTTGTCCTTGGGAGAGACTTGCCCCCACCATTGGATGTGGAATTTCCACCACTGGCTCATGGCTGTGAATGGTAGATAAGCAATGCCTCAATGCTCTTTTGAGTAGGAAATCACTTTAATACACTGCACAATAATCCCAGTTTCCTAGTCATACGGTGGGGAGGTAATCGGCGACGTTAATATCTTCATGTCGAGGTTGGTGAGCCAGTGGATGGCTTCAGGAGGAGCCTGACGAAAACTTGAAACGCTGCCAGAGAATTATTTAAGCGGACAGTAGCGTTACTGTGTGGTCTGTTGTCTCAGTCTGCTGCCTAAATGAATTTCAGGTTCAATGTCGCCAATATCGGTGCTGAGACGGGTGCTGCCGTTCTTATCATTGAGGTCTTAATAGATGTTTCCTGGTAAGCACTGGCTATGAGGTTTCATTCGGCTTAACGTAGGATGCTCGTGTGCAGATATTTGTCACCAGTAGCACCCTAAATGGCCGATTGGAGCAGTTGGGGGTGCAGGAGGCGGACACGGACAAGTGCGATTTCCTGAGCCATGCCATGGCCTGGGTGCCCAGTGACACCATTCCTGAGGAAGAGGCCTTTTTCTTTACACAGGTAACAGTGGTGCTCCGCAGAGGTTCGCCTGTGTTAAACATTGCTAGTCACCCTGCAGAGCTTTTGATTGTTTGACCTATATTGTGCATGCAAAGGGACCACAAGTTTGTGTTTCATAGAGAATAAGGTCAGCGGTGTGACCTTAGTAAATTTTGTTCTGCATCCTAAATGTCACTGCAGGGAGCCAACAGTTATGAAAGGTGCGTTGAGACCTTGGAGAGAAAAGTGATGCCTAAGAAAATAATAATGATAAAAATGTGTGTGTGGACAGCGAGAGAAAGACAAGCAGCCTGACATCAGAGGGTTCTTTAAGAAACCAACTGCACCCAGAGTGAAGGCAAACTCAGATGGGGGTTGTGATGATGAAAGGGAAAACGGCAGCGTGGATACGGCATGGGATGCGCGTTCTGCCCCGAGTGAGGAAGGTGTCGACGAGCCTGCAGATGGTGATGGTGCTTCTCTGGACGGATTGAGACTCTTATCGAGTGGGAAGAGGGGGGTTCCTGAAGGAGAGGAGTTTAAGCCGCAGAGCAAGAAATTCCGCCTTCCTATTGCGACATCTCCCAACACTGAACTGCAAAAGTCCAGAACCCCACCATCCCCAGCATCTCCAGCATCCCCAGCCATGACCTCCCCAATGGTATCGCAAGCCTCCCCCCATGCGGGGCAGCAAACTCGTTTGGTTGCTAAGTCTGGTTCTGCGAGCGCTTTGCGCAGGAAAAGCACTACACGACGGAGGAAAGATCCGGCCACCCAGTGCAGGCCTAAGGGGCCGCAGCGAGGGCGTGTGCTGTTGCCATGCGACGGTCGCGAGGACACGCTGGCGGCGTGGGATTGCAGCATGTGCACGTACAGCAACAACGGCCTCATGCTTTACTGCGAGATGTGCAACGCAGTCCGGCCCAGCGGTAAGGCTCCCCGTGGCAGCCACCCAATGGTAGATTCGTTTTCATTGTATGTCATTCACAACAAGACAGATGGTCAAACACAGTAAAAAAAGAATCCATTTATTCACAGTGCATTCTTATGTTGAAAGAGAAAGGTAGGTTTATGGTATTGTTTTGTAGTCATATTTCAGGGCTTCAGCCCAAAAGTTTTGTACAACAGGATCAGGCAATGTTATATAGACATGTAAGCGATTCATTCATGGAACGTACCTTTTGTAACAGAAATTATTTGAATGCTATTGTTGTTCATTCTAATTTCATAGTTTCATCTTAACCTTGTTTTGCACTTTGTACAATTGTTGCTGTAGAAAGAAAAACTGATGGCGCACCTGGAGAGATCACCGCTGGAAGAAAAACAGACGGCACAGAGCAGGCCCCGAGGGGCACGCGCAATCATGCAGCGCCATCCCCCGGAAAGTCTGCGGACTCTGAGCCACAGGCATGTTCGCAGGCATGGGGAGAGTGCATAACCGTATCGGAGAGTGACGATGATGAAGATCCCGTTACCCGTCATCGACTCGTTATGGAAGACGAGGTCAGACAGACGTTGGACCCTGTCAAGCCCGAGACGGACAGTCATAGCTGCCTGCCGCCGACAGTGGTGGGAGAAGCGAGCAGCTGTGCTGAGGATGGGCTGAATGGCCAAGGAAGCAAAGCAGGAGTCTCTGTCGCTGCTGGGGATGATGCAACCCAGCCAGAACCCACAAGCATGGAAGTTGAGAAAGGTGTGTTTATGAGTAATGCTTTTGCACCACTACAGTTAATATTAGCAAATGCACCTTAACTACATCCTCATTGCATTGAGCATTTTTTTTTTCTAATATTTGTTTGCCATGTTATAACAGTGTTTATTCTATACCAGCAATTGTAAACAGGGGGCTTTTGCATTAATCCATTGGGGGATTTAGTTGTTGTAGTAACACTGAGTGGACCAGTGACGCAGGTGTTCATGCACTGCACTGAGCAGTGCATGAGCCGACAGTGAAGTATGGTCACATTCAACTCCCATGACTGATACTGCATGACAAAGCCTTTATCCGTTAGTAGATTGACAAAAGCTGTAAATTATTGTTCAATCTTTCAACACGAGTCATTTACACGGACAATGATTTCAAGTTGTGTCGCTGTGGAGTGGCTAATAAACGTTTCTTTGTCTCCTTCACTTCCCTCCACCAGGTGCTGCGGACAGAGAGGATTCGTGCCAGGTGGACGTGCCTGCATTTGACAGCTTCATGTTCTGTGCCAGCAGGAATACGGACCGTGTGTTCCTCTTTACCACGGTGGGGCCCGGGGCTGAACAGCTGGCGCTTTTTACCACAAACACCCCTTTATTTTTACAGTCCTTGATTTACATTGGGACGAGAAGGCTTTGTTGTTCCTGCTTTACAGTGCTAATATACTCACAAAAGAGATATTTAAACGGGTGGTGGGCTGCAGTTATTTTTTGTTTTCTACCGGCAGGATGGGCAACCCCTCCATTGTAACTTCATCCCTCTGGACATTAAGCTGGAGAACTGGGATGAGCTGCCAGACATCCTGCAGCACAAACGCAACCTGGTTCTGGTACGCCTGGGAAATGATATATTTTTTTACTTTAGCCATCTTTTATTTGGGCCTGTTAATTGGGCCCCTGCCAAAACTGGTCCTCTTGTTTGCTCCACGCTGTGACTGTTTCTCAAATGTACTGGTGACGGCCTGGCAGGTGCAACGGTTTGTGCGCGAGTGGGACGCCCTCCCGCCCATGAAGCAGCGCATCCTGCGCAAGAGTGGCCAGATGTTCCGCAGCCCCGCTCTGGCTGTGGAGGAGATCTCCGTGGGCCAAAGGAAGCAGCACTGCACCAAACGGTGATGACCAAACACACAGCAGAGTTGCCATCATTTGTTCTGAGCCGTAGGTGGAAATTCACCTTTACTATGACAGAGACGAGTCTGTCCATGGAATAGCTGTTGTTGACCTCCCGCCAAGTGGTGCAGTCTCATCGGGTGGTGGGCTTTTTACTGACTCCAGAGGAAAGATGGGCTGCATCATCTTTGGCTTATTTTAAAATTTGCGAGCTCATAATTGCTGCTCTGACAACTGACCTACATTCCAGTCTTGATGAGCAGCATTTCCAAAATAGTGTTTGCTATGTCTAAACTAATTATACATGGACTCAAGTGCCAGTGTTTTTACACGAGATTTGTACTTTGTTAAACATTTTGACAGCATAATTTCACGTCGGTCCTATGAGATGCTCGCCGCTGCCAATAGTCTTTCCGCCGAGGAGACGGCGGCGTCGTCATTGTGTGTCGAATTGTTCTGCTGGCATGGGTCTCACCTGGGCCGTGCTGGCCCTGCGCTAGGTTCCTGAGCAAGACGGATGTGGCGGAGCGAGCGCTGAGCACAGCCAAGCAGGAGGGCGGCAGCGTGCGGCTCGTGACCAAGCCCGGGGTCAAGCCATTGGATGGGAAGCACGACCCTGAGCCCACGCACGGCACAGAGAAGTGTGTGGCCCCACGCCACCTTTGGCATTGCTGGACTTGCAATGTTGAAAGGTGGTGGTGGTGCACTTGGGCAAATTCATAGGCGTTACCTTGAATCGGAATCAGAATATTGGAGGAATCCGATGAGCTATAAAGCTCTTTTTCGCAGATGTCCAGTCGGGGCAGCAAAGAACATTCCAACAACAAACAGTACAAAAACATGATAGGAGTGCAAAATACAAGAAAGGTAAACAAATCACCTAAACACAAACAAATAAGACTAAACCATCCCCATCCTACCAGACAAAGCCCACTGATGTATTAACTTATTTTTTTTAAACGACCTGGCTGCAAATGATAGCTCAACAAAGTGGCTTATCATTTGGACATTTATCGTAGCAAAATAATCGAAATAGTCTAAACGCATGTTTTGAAATGTGGAGGGAAAAACCGGAGGACCCGGAGAAAAAATCCACGCGGCCACGGGGAGAACATGTAAACTCCCTCCAAATATATGACTGTGACGGTCAAAGGTAAGATAACTCTGGCCTGCACCCCCTCCCCGTGATGACTGCCGTAGGATCATCCTCTCCCCTCCCGCTTTGCTCGTCAAGTTCATCTCAGAATGTTCCCTCCGCGTGTCTGCAGTGACGGCACTCGGGTTGCTTTTTGAGATGAAAAATCTCAACACAGTCAATAACACTGCCTACGAAAAGGAACAAATATCAGGCAACATTTTTTCACCGCACACGGAGAAAGAAGGGCCATTGCCCTAACATCTGCAATTATATATTTCCTTTTAAGGTAGTGTTAGTGAAGAATGTGAGTTTTTTTTTATGAACTGCGCTTGTGCACCGTTGCCAACGCATCATCAATAAATAATTATTTATTTAGATGAGCATATTACTTTTTGGGAACATAATGACATAGGTGCACAGAGTCATGCAATTTCTAACTAACCAGAAAATGCTGTATGGCGATTTGCTCAGATTAGTTGGATCAACCCAACAAAGCTCTTCGCGAAAGCAATGAAGTCGGCTTAGGGCACATATCAGCATGCTGTTGCTACTATGCCCTCGGTGATACACAACAGGGCGAATGCTGAGAAGAAAGTGCCTCAGTCAGCGGCGTCCACCATCCCCGACGCTCCTGGCGTTGACGAGGTGCCCAGCGTGGGGTTCCTGCAGGCTGTGGATGGCTCTGGGCGGCCGCTGTGCCTGGGCTGTTCCAAGCCGACCCAGCAGGCCTCTACCGCAGCAGGCGCTGCTGCGGGATCGAGCCCCGGCACCTCGGCTGCTCTCACCGGCGCCGCCGACTGGGCCACGCGCTTCTGCTCGCGCGCCTGCCAGGTGTGCGACGTCAGCAGGGGATGAAGGCGGTTTTAGCATGGAAGTAATAATAATTACTCATCCAATACTTGTTTTTACAGGATCTTACGTGAAATTATTGGCATGCACGGTCATTTTCATATCGAGTCTTATTTTTGGAACGAGAACTTGCAAACTATAAACATGAAATTAGTCTTAAAATAAATAAATGTATTTACTTATACATAGACTTTGTAAAGAATATAAGAATATATTCTGCATGGGCTCTCCCCTGGTTAATTGCAGGGAGTTAATTACTTGATCAGAAGGGGACTGTTTAATCAAATACGATGTAGATGATGATTCATGGTGAATGCCTCACTGCCCCATCGTTACCACATTAGCACAATTTCTGCCTCGCATTTGTTGGCCGCCACCCCTCCCCCCACCTCGCCGCTCCTGATGCATCTACCTCCGTTTTCCTGGGCAGGAGGATTTCAACCTACGCTCCTACAACAGCTGTGTGCGCGGAGCGGTGCGCGACGCGGAGTGCGGAGTGTGCCGGGCGTGCGGGCTCGACGCGCAGGAGCTCTTCTCGCGCGTCCGCGGTGCCCCGCGCCCCCAACGCAAGGCCCTGCTGGAGGCCACCGTCATGGCCGCACTCTCCGTGGAGCAGGTGGCGCCCACGCACACATGGACGCCCCCCTCACACCTCTCCCCCTGCCTCCGCCTCAACTCGGCATTTGTTTGTAATGCCGCTCGGTCATCACCGCGATGTAATGTACGCAATTTGCACAGAGGCTTCATAATGGCCATTACAGAATGCTTAACCGACACTGCTGATAATCCTGGGTTGCAATCTGGGTTTCAGCCAGCAGTCATTAAACCAGTGTCTCAAGTTTAATGAATGTGTAGTGGTGATAACTACTCGCTGTTCGCAAGCTGTGAGAGAGCAGTTGGTAAACAAGGTTTTCCCGCTCAATCAAACAGTTAGGGTCAAATGGGGTGAGGTAGGATCCAAACGCCAGATTGGGAAGAACCAATCGGAGGGGTCCAAGAGTTGGCCGGGGATTGGTTAATCCGGCCACGAACAGGTATAAAAGCTGGAGCGCTGAGAGCTCTTGCTTAGTTCTGCTACACGAAGACCCAAGTCGGCTGAAGACAGCTAGGACCCTGGACCAAGCCTTCCAGCCCTTGTCAGGGCTGGGGCTCAGTGTCACCAGTGGTCAGGGGAGATAGGTCCTGGATAGGACCCTGGCTCCCAGCCTTCCCGCCCTTGTGAGGGCGAAGGTCTCGAGCGACCAGAGGTCAGGGACCCGCCGGGCCAGCGGCGGGTCAGTGTGCCTCCCCTAGGTCCCAGCCGGAGGACGCTAGGCTAGCGGGGGAGATAGCCGGCAAGTCCGGAGTCTGTAGCTCCTCAGGATAGCGGGTACGGGAACCGTATACCCCTTGTGTTAGGTGTAGTAAGTATTGGTGAATAAAAGCGTGTGGCCTCTAAGAAGTCTCCGTCTCCTTCAAGAACATTACAAATGTATGGTCTCAGCTTTGTTTTGTATGCCGAGGTTTAATAGCAAAATTTTTACTTTATTGAAGGCTTTTTAAAATCTTGCTTGAAATGCCATATGAGGAGATCACTCTTTGCACAGGGTATTTAAATCCGGTAATAGGTGAGAGACTGACTGAAGTGCTTTCACACCATGAGAATTTCAGACAAATCGGTTCCCGTCACAAAACGCCATCAGAATTGGCGTTTAAAAAAATATCATTGGCGATAAAATCTATTTCTGTACAGTACATAACTTTACGTATTGAACACCACCTTGGCGAATGTACTAATATAAAGTGATTTTTTTTTTTAATTCCTGATTGTGTTGTGACGTGCTCGTACACTTGCCCCCCCCCCCCCCTCGTGCAACTCGCAACAGCTGAATGAGATGATCCGGGAGCCCAGGGCCGGCCAATTCTGGCAGGCTGACCACATCCAGCCCGTGTGGAACGGCGGTGGGCAGTGCCACCTGGACAACCTGCAGACACTGTGCACCGTGTGCCACGAGAAGGTGTGGTGTCGCCAACAACCCCTGCCACGCCACAGCCTCCGCTTTACAATTGGCGCACATGTTTGTATCCATGTTTAGATTCATAACTTTGTGGGTTGAGTGATTGCGCTCTGGGTTTTTGCACGACCATATGAACCTGGCGACTTAAAATTAGTTGGGTATTGTTTTTTTCTCTGGCAGCACCAACCATGACGCGTATGGTAATTTCGCATGTCAAGCAGCATTGCCTTGTCCATGCAGAAGTCTGATTACTTTTCTGCCCACTGCTCTGTGGGTGACTTTGCTCCATCGTTTAGGTATTCTGACTCGCAGAACAATCGGTAACATTGCGCGTGAATTGTCTCTGCTGTCGCAGAAAACCAACAAGCAGGAGGTGGAGAGAAAGCAGATGGTGAAACGGGCGAAAGCTGCGCAATACGGGGCCGACATCACGCTCTTCTTCCAGAAAAAGTGACCGCAAGCCGGGATCTCGGACTAAAGGGGAATCTCGATTGCAAAGATCGGCATTCCTGCTCGCGCGGTGGTGACTGTGCTACAAGCCAGCGACCGCCATTGCAGCGCACGCGAGGACCGGCTGGTGGAGTCCATGTCACGGGAATGATATTTTTTCCGTTTAACAGTTGTAACATGCAGATATTGCTGCGTCTGATTCTAATAACATAAAGAATGTCCTTTATCTAGCACAGCAAACCACCGTGCCCGAAGAGTCGTTGCCAGGAGGCTAATGGTTATATTTTTTATAGTTATTGAGTATTTTAGCATGTAGGAAGGGAGCTGAAGTACCTGGAGAAAATTCCCATGGAACGTTAGATAACTCAAATATCTGTAGAGGAAACAGATGTGTACTGTATTTTTCTTATGGTTAGGGTATAAGATATTGCACCGTTACAATACATTCTGGACTTTGTTCATTTACAGTTGTATTTCAAAGTGTTTCATTATTATTGTGGGGCCCTGTACTTACCTGCATGGCCGCACACGCAGCTGAATATTGCTGCCTCCAGCAATAGGTGGCCACAGTGAGTTGTATGGAACCATTGTCAATTATTTTGCGTTACATTGCTTCATTGTGTACTCTGCAAACATACACTGGAGGCTGTTTTCTAGTCAAAATATGAATTCGGGTCTTGTCGAACCAATTAAGAAAATAGTATTTTTTTTACAAATGGAGAACATGTGCACAAATGGACAAATTCTATATCAATATTATATGCGCATTAGCTGTACCCATGTGTGTGTTTTGTAACATTTTTTTTAGATTACGTTTTCTGTAAATTTTGTTCTAAAGTTTTCTTGTCTCTGCAATTCGCATTTTTCATCCCTTGTCCTAACAATGTTTAAAAATGTTTTGGCCGACCACTGTTACTCTCCCTACTTGGTATAAAGTGTCCATAAAATTTCAGGTTATGGTCAAATATAACTTTCTGTCTTATGCAATACATTCATTTACGGCGTTTCAAATACTGTATTATAAACTGTGGCTTATAGTAAATCAAGTATGATTCACACATCCTTATATGCAGATAACTTCACAAGACGATTTGCAAATCGGTTCAGAAAGTCAGGTGAGTTTATTTATAAAGCTTACGTACGTGGTACAATTTAGCAATCGCTATATATTAACACATTGGTCCCTTAATGCCTATACAGAATGCATTACGTAAACACAGTATTAAACCTTTAATGCCGACTACATAAGTCTACCTGTCTGAACGTGTTAAAGCGGTAGTGCAGGTGCGTTGCTCGCTAACGCAGCTAGCTCGTATTAACAGCAAACACAGGTTGTATTTATTAAGCCGCACGACGACCCACGTCTCCATGTGTCTGATGGTTACTGTGAGCGTGAGGCTTGGAAGTATTCAGCAAGAGTGAGCAGATACCCGAGTCGGTATAATACTGCTATTTGTGGAGCAGCAACCCAAATGATGGTTTTACCTCAACCAATAGGTGTGACATGCAAATAAATAGATGGTGATGTAACGGACAAAGCGGCAGGAGAGAGTCCTGTAGTGTAAAAACCGGTTTAAACATCTGTTGAGCATCCTTTAAGTTTATTAAAATGGCTGCAAATACCCTCGCCTCATGCCAATGTTGGTGTTATTGGTCTCTATATTTTTGGAACCGCTTCATAAATTGCTTTTCGAGATGTTCTTAAATCTCATTGTTTATTGACACAAAGGGCTAGTTTTGAAGAACTTTTAATTGGATTTTTTGTATGTCTGTGAACGGTTTAAATAGGTTTCAGGAAGTGTGTTTGCATTGCGATGATTTTCTTTTCACAACACTGCCATTGCCACAGAGGAAGCAACGCAGATGATGGAGATTGAGGTCTATCCTGTACTCCAGCCTGTTGGGAATTTCCATTGCAGTATCCCCCCCAGCGATGCTATCGCAGCAGTGGCCAAGCGAATGCAGAGTGCCAGTGTGGAAACTGGCGCCGCAGACGGCCAAGGGAACGGGGCTCGAGAATCAGGGCAGCGACTCCGCTAGCGGTGGAGAGGCCGGCGCCGGTCGGCAAAGTGCCTCTGTATGTTCATGGTGACCTCCCGGTGCAGGTCGGTATGGTCGCCGGCGCCTCCGTCCGACACCCAGGGGTGGTGCAGCGCTTGCCGGGCAGTGTAGCGCCGTGCCGTATCCACCACGAGCAGCCGGCTTACCAGGTCCTTTGCCGCTGCGTCACCAAAATTGCAACAACGAAGAAAAACTGTTTGAATTCCAGTGGTCGTGTTTTATAGTGCATGCTGACTGGGAATACCCTTGTAACATTTAAATTGTCACAAAAATACTTTATTAATATACTACGTTAAAATAAACCCAGCCAGAGGGTACTGTTGTGGGAGGATGACAAGTTTAATTCTCAATTGGGTCAACTCGGCCCATAATTCATATTAAGTAAAAAGCAGTTCTTACCACTGAGAAGTCATCAGTTGTCCGTCCTATTGGTTGGCATGGCCCTGACATAGAATTGTGGAAATGTGTCCACCACTGACTGGCCAAGGGCTACCAAGAGAGACCACTCCACCCCAATGCTCGTTTGAGCAGGAACACATTTTGGATTTAATTCAGAAAAGATAATAGCCTCGTTTTTTTTTAGCAAGGACTACCCTGAGACGTTCACCACTTCCTAACTTCGCGTTTTTGTAAATACTGTAGTTTGCAATTGAAAGGACAAGATTGATGAACAACGCGCGTTTGACCCCTGGAGGATGACACTTGTGAATCTCTGTCCTCGGTGACTTTGCCAGCATTTTGCACGTGCGAGAAAAGTCTCACCGTCGGAGATGTGGTCCCAGTAGGGTGAGAGAAACTCGTACTCCCCGAGCTGGATGATCTCAAAGAGCTCCTCCTGGTCACGCTCCAGACTCCGGAACGGCGGGAAGCCGCACAGCAGGATGTAGGTGATGACGCCGGCGGCCCACATGTCCACCTCGAGCCCGTAGCCTGGGCGGAGTGAGACCCACGCGAAGCATGGCCACACAGACCCTTCAGCTGCCGCTGCTGCTGGCAGTGAAAACTCTACTGCTGATTTGCATCCCTCTCGTCAAAGAGTTAAGGATGTATCCGTGCTTCAGTGTTAGATGGTGCTTATTAACATGGGCAGTCATCTGAGCCAGTGGTGGAACTTCCACATTCCTATTGCAAGGATTGAGCTTAACACGTAGGCTTTCGTGGCCAATATCCATAAGAGGTTTGTTTGGATTAGATCGCGTAAATATATAAATGTGTGTTATACCCGCCACCACCCGACAACCAATTAGTCAGGGTTGTCACGTAAACAGAACATGCCAATTCGTCTCTAGTACAGCACACCGGTGTGTTGGAGAGCCAAGCCACAACATTTACAATCTGGCTGTCGCCTGATGAAGCTAGTTGCAATTACTAGCGAAACGTCATACTCATGTAATGCGGGCGTAAATGGGCGGGGCGGATATGACGATCCGAGAGGGAGGAGTCAGGGTCACGAGGGGGAGAAGTTATAGCGGGGAGACAGGAAGCCATCTGGGTCAGTCGGGGGAGTGAAGGGTGGTGAACACGTTGGGTGGTCGCCGTGCCTCAGCCTGGTGGCTGAGGGGCTCATGACGGCGCCAGCCAGCGGGGTGGAAGAGAGAGTGGAGGATTGAGGTTGGAGATGGCGAGATAGCCACAGAGGCCACGAAGGGCTGAGGTAGGAGATGGCGAGATAGCCACAGAGGCCACGAAGGGCTGAGGTAGGAGATGGCGAGATAGCCACAGAGGCCACGAAGGGCTGAGGTAGGAGATGGCGAGATAGCCACAGAGGCCACGAAGGGCTGACGTTGGGAGGTGGCGAGATCGCCACGCACGGAGGAACAGGGTGCAGCGATGGAGCTGCTGTGAGAGCAGCCAGAGGGCTGCACCAAGAGCCTGCAGCGGAGCTGCAGGAGCGCGGAAGGCTACGGGAGCGAAGGCAGATGTGGAGCTGCCAGGCAGAGAGTCTCAGGAGGAGTGCTGTGAGGGAAGGAGAACGCGAACCCCAAATAAAGGACACGGAGTCAGAGAGAAGCGTCTGAGTCCTTTATTACACTGGTGTCAGAAGTGAAACGGCATCTCAAAACAACTGAGAGAGAGAAAAAAAAAAGAATATTCCTGCGCCATCATCTGCTACATCATCCGACGACGACGACCTTCCTCAGACGGTGGACCTGCCTGCGATGGAAGAGGAGATCCGTGCTGGAACGAGTACGGGTCCGGGTGAGCAAGGTGTCGCCGCGTCGGTGGACCTGTCTGTGCCGGAGGACGCCAAATTATGATGGAGACAGATGGCGGCGCAGATGGGGACCTTGAAAATCGTGCTGGCGCAACTGTGTGAGTTCACCACGCCGAGGACGACGTTGGGGAGGCCCGGTGGTGATCCGCAGGCCTCCGCCTTTCCTGCGCTGCCAGCGCCATCTGCCACGTGGCACGAAGACGCCATCTTGGGCGTGGCAGGGGAGAAAAGGCGGGAAGCCGCCATCTTGTCTTCACCGCGGTGGGGAGACGCCGCCATTCAACATCGCGGCGGTGACGCAGCTTTGCGCTGCCATCTGGAGGTGCCTCGGGGAGAGCAGCCTGCTGTGAGCTGCTGTTTTCGAGGGGGTGCTGCGAGGAGAAGACGCCGATGCTGCAGCTGCTGGGGCGGGAGCTTCCCGTCCTGGCTCGGGTGCGTGACAACGGAGCAGTCAAGTCGCCGAACGAGTTCTGCGAGGCGTCTCAAGTTGCCACCCTGCCGTCCTCTTCTTGCTGCAGCCCCGGGCGAGTCGTAACGATACGCACCCGGCCTTAACACACACCTCACCCATCTTTCGAGGGCCGGGGGGCTATTTTGGTTTTCTCTTATGACTCGATTGTGCGGAGCGCGGTTCGGACTGTGTGTATGTGTGTGTAATAACGATGAACGCGCTATCTGCTTGTTGCTTGGTGTCAATATAAGTGTGTGCGTGTGTTGAGAATGGACGGAGAGTCTGCTGTGTTGCTGAGTGTCAAATAGTGTGTGTGTGCTGCTGCGTGGAGTTGTTATCTTGATGGTGAAGTTAATTATTAACTTGGGAGCGTCGGGTATCCTGCGCTGTACCATCTCGTGGGTTACCGTGCGCGATGGGCTTAATTGAAAAAAAAACATTTTTTTTGGTGTATTGTGCTGCGAGGTGCTGTGTGCGATGCGGTTGTTGCAAGAGAGAGAATATTTGTGTTGTTGCTGCAAAGCTACGACAGGATTAATGGTGTGTTGGTTGCCTGCAGATTCTGTTTGCTATTGTGCTTAAATGTACGCGTGTGATCGCGATATGCTGACTGCATGTGCTGTTACACCGTTCTGTACGGTTATGGGGTGCGATGCAGTGGTTGACTATTGGAATTGGGATTGTTATTATATTGTGCGTACCTGTTGGGGATTGGTAACAAATTCGAGGGGGACCCAAAAATTTGGTTGTATGGGTGTTGTGCACACGAGATTGCGTGTATATTATAGGGGTAATTGAGCTTTTTGAAAATGAGGGTGCGCGATGACGCCGTTGTGGGTGGCTTAGATGTTAATGCTAATGGGATCATAAATGGGCGCCAAGTGGCGTCGCGTATTCAGTTGATTGCATGCAGCCACGAGTTGCTTTGCGAGTTGGGTTGTGTAACTAATGTGGTTGGTAAAATATTGGTTAAAAATTCCCCGATATGACTGCTGCGCGCAGCAAGCTGGGGCTGTGCGTCTATCGTTGTTGGGGTTGTTACAATAAGACGGGGGATGCATTTTGTGACCCCCAGCATAGGGAAGCTGGGGTGCACGAATGGAGAAAACTGGCCACGTGTTCGCACGTTGGGCCGCCATTTTGCGCGCACGCGGGGTATGGCGACGATGCGCTTTGCGGAAAGGGCCGCCATTTTGAGTGCGCGCGAGATATTGCGCGAACGCGCTGGGCGAAGGGGGACGCCATTTTGAGCGCGCGGGATAAACCGAGGTGGGGCAAATATTCCATCTGTTATGCCTGCCATTGTTGATTGGGTGATGCATGAGTTGTGGTCACATCGGCCTATGGCTGATGGCTGACCTGACAGCCCGGAGGCGAAACCTCCGTGGTATGTCTTAAACTAATGGGCCATGTGCTCATATGGCTCAGGGAGTCATGGTTCAGTTGTGCGGTGGCAGACTGAACCTGGTGTGCCTGGGGCTCACGGGATCTGGGTTAGGGTGTTATTGTCTCTATAAGAGAACATTGCCCCGTGGGGGGAGTCCATGGGGTCTGGCATTGCCGGGGGATGAATCTTCCCTGGGCTATAAAGCATCAGGCTATACGAGGCTGGTGTGTGTCCATCTCTGATGGGATAGTAAGGGAGGAGCATGGCCGAGTTGCTGCTCATCCCCGAAATTGCACTAGCTGAGAGTATGGTCAGTGGATGTTGCTGTGGGTTGACGACCACGGTGGGGGTTAGGGCGAGTTAAACGTTACCGCTGGGGAGCGTGGCTCTCTCCACGCGAGGGTGTGCGACTGGGGGCTTTGCTGAGAGTGACCGTGGGTACATGCTGTGTACGTGCGATGTCTGTGCTGGTCCTCAAGGGAGGATTGCTGGTGGGTAAGAGCAGGAAATGTTGTTGTTGTTGTTGTTGTTGTCACGTGTAAATAATATTGTTGTTAAAATGTAAATACTGGGGCATCCATCGCGTTTATTTTGGGTATTTATGGGGGTTTTTTTTAAAGCGGGCCGGATTTACATCATCTCCACTACCCTGGGGCCGGGTGGCTGTCGTGTACGACATGTGGATGTGCGTTGTTGTGTTGTGCCTCAGGGGATTGGATTCTCCTTCTCGTCACAGATCTTCAGTGCCTGCCACACTGGGTGTTACCTGGTGTGCTAACTGGACGAGGACTTGAAGGAGCGATTGAGCGCCTGTTCGTCATTCCTGCTCTACTAGTTGCTCTTTGACGTTGGACTTGGGCCGAGCGGATGGAACTGCAACATGGACACGCACTAAAACACCACATTCCTGGGTTGTGCGCGTCGGCCGTTCTTGCGTGTCAGTTGCCGTTGTTGTGCATTGTGCCATTCTTATTCTTGTTGTTGTTGCGCGGAGGACAGGCCGGTGTTCTGTTCCAGTTCCTGATACCTCCCCTTTCGTTACTTGTGTTGTTGTTCTTATAATCTCCGTTGTGTCTGGGGGACTCCTGATTGTGATGCCTTCGCCCGCATTATTTTGTTCTGTTTCAGCCGAGGACGGCTGGAATTTTCTCTACGGGGGAGGGTAGTGTAATGCGGGCGTAAATGGGCGGGGCGGATATGACGATCCGAGAGGGAGGAGTCAGGGTCACGAGGGGGAGAAGTTATAGCGGGGAGACAGGAAGCCATCTGGGTCAGTCGGGGGAGTGAAGGGTGGTGAACACGTTGGGTGGTCGCCGTGCCTCAGCCTGGTGGCTGAGGGGCTCATGATGGCGCCAGCCAGCGGGGTGGAAGAGAGAGTGGAGGATTGAGGTTGGAGATGGCGAGATAGCCACAGAGGCCACGAAGGGCTGAGGTAGGAGATGGCGAGATAGCCACAGAGGCCACGAAGGGCTGAGGTAGGAGATGGCGAGATAGCCACAGAGGCCACGAAGGGCTGACGTTGGGAGGTGGCGAGATCGCCACGCACGGAGGAACAGGGTGCAGCGATGGAGCTGCTGTGAGAACAGCCAGAGGGCTGCACCAAGAGCCTGCAGCGGAGCTGCAGGAGCGCGGAAGGCTACGGGAGCGAAGGCAGATGTGGAGCTGCCAGGCAGAGAGTCTCAGGAGGAGTGCCGTGAGGGAAGGAGAACGCGAACCCCAAATAAAGGACACGGAGTCAGAGAGAAGCGTCTGAGTCCTTTATTACACTCAGATGGGAAATGTGGCTTGGCTCCCCAACACACCGGTGTGCTGTACTAGTGACGAATTGGCATGTTCTGTTTACGTGACAACCCTTATTAGTTGGCTGTGTCGGGTGGTGGCAGATTTTAACGACACATTTACGCGATCTAACCCAAAAAAACACTATTGAAGGACTGAGCTGTTTGCCGAACAATAGCCTTTGACATCTTGCAATGTCGTCATTGCTTTATTAACACGAGATAGATGATGGACTGAGCCTACCCTGAATCAGAATTTACAATTGCAACCTTATTGTCAATTGATCTATTTAAAGTACTATATTTCACATGTGGTAATATGTTTAGCAAATTTAATTCAAGTTTGACATCTACTCTGTTCCCTTGTTTTCGTGTTCTTTGCTTGAAAGGACAGCAGGTCATATTGCATGATGCCTGTCAAAATGGGCTGTCACTGGTTTATGAAGTCTACTCACCACTGTAGTTTTTTGTTAACTATTTGAAATTATTTCCACTGTGTTTGGAGTGGTTCAATGCTGTACAGGTATCACACCATGTGCTCTCTATCCTGTGCTTTGTCGAGTTATTTTTGAGCCACAGTCTTAAGAATAACTTTGCTCTGGATTAAACTTGCGAAGCACATTGAAAAACAAAATTGGCGCGTTTCGATCGTTGCGTGGTCGTAGAAACGCAACTGTGGCGCTGCTGCCAAATGTCACACATCCTTAAAAACGTGCGGTGAACCTCCGCGTGGCTGCAATCGTGGTGTTGCCGTACGTAGTTTGATTATAAAGTGCACGTGGGTTATTTGTTAAGAGCCTTGGCAAGCACTGTAAATACATGGGAACACCAGGGCAACTGAGGTCTGTGTGAACTTTCTTGGCAGCCAGTTCACATTGAACGATTCTCGAGCAGCAGGTGGAGACGGGGCCCTTGGTCCATCGAGCAACGCTTTATGCACCACTCGAGGGCCGTGAAGGGCCGCCAAGGAGAGAGACGCAGGTCCTCCATACGCAGTGCGTCTCCCATGTCTTACAGAGCCAGGATGTTGCAGTGCCGCCTGCCGAGCCTGACCGCCTGGCGGCTGTGTTCTGTTCAAGGATCTCGATTCCAAAAATAATGCGTTCATCATGAGTCCTTACTCGGCTCTGATGAAATAGCGCTTATTGATCAATGGACGGTGAAATGAGGTAACTGTGAGGGAGGGAGTTTTGGCACCGTCTTTGCATATACTTTTATCAGGTGATTGGCTTCATTTGCATGCGATTTTAATACTGCAGCGATTTAAATGTCACGGTTATAAAAGTGTCATTTAAATTAATAATTAAAGTTTTTTCAATGCATTTGTTTGAAACCAAATTTGGAAGTCCGATCCAAATTTTGGACACTTGGTCCTTAATTTGCAGGATATTGTAAGTCACTTAGACGTGTCTGTGTAACCCAACACTGGCTGCGGTCTCAATGGAAGGACACAAATGTATGCTCGTTCTTGTTTAGATAAACAAACGTCTGCATCTTACATCATAACCTGGTCTCACGATCATTAACCTGACTCAACCTTATGGCATTACAGTTTTAATTAACTTTTCTACTGTTACATTCCATTACATGGATGTGTGTATTGATTGACCAAGCTCGTTCTTCGTGAGACGTGGACTCTGCGAGTGTCCACTGCATTCTCTCTGTCAACTCGGTCAACTCGGTAGCTGGTGCAGTGTGTAAACATCGGCGGTGGAGGCACAAACGTGTGCTTTTGGCCACAGAGCCACTCGTGTATTGTGCCGGCCTTGATAGGCACTTACATTTGGTCGTCCAGCCTTGAAGGCAAAATAGAGAAGCCTTGTATATATAATTGTGCGTGCGTCACCTGTGTTTGTCAAATTACCTCCAAGTGCAACAACAACAACCGCCACTAAGTGGCGGTGACGTCAGCACGGTGCACTTTGAGGTCACGTGGTTTGACTGACGAAGATGCAAAATAGAGGTTGTTTTTGGTTAGATCCCGTAAATATAAATGCCGTTAAACCTGCCGCCACCCGACTCAGTTCATCACACCGGTGTGTTGCAATTAGAGTACGACATTTCGCCGTTAATTACAACCAGCCTCATCACACACCGGTGTGCTCTCTGTTATGGATAATACTGGTAGGAACCTCCTGGTTACACCAGCCCACAAAAATGGGAGGGGTGGGGCTGGGTGGAGAGGGGAGAGTGGGGAGGGTGGAGAGGGGCTGGGTGGGGAGGGTGGGGAGGGACTGGGTGGGGAAGGTGGGGCTGGGTGGGGGGTGGGAGGGGTGGGGCTGGGTTGGGGGTGGGAGGGGTGGGGCTGGGTGGGGAGGGGCTGGTCACCCCGTGGTGCCCTTATAAAACTCAACGTTTAACCTACTCACGCCGGCTTGTGCCCGCCCTCGCAGTCGGCCATATTTGCGGAATACACCACGCCGCCCTTGACCCTGATCATTGACCGAGCAACCCAACGTTCCTACCAGCTCCCTCCGCAGGAATGTGTTATTGGTCGCAAAAACCTCTATGTGTTGAACCGACTGAGATGGTTGGCAGATGCACCACCCGTGTGCCCCCCCCCCATACTGTGCCAACTCGCTGTGTTTTAAACGACAGGGTGGCTCTTCTCTGCTCGTTGTTGTGAGCGTCGCTCCTCTTTGTCCATCAGCCTCGAGGGCGCTCACCTATCCTGACACAAGTGGCCGTGGTGATGCCACGGCCACTTGGTGCCAGACTGTGTGATGGTGATGCAGCAGGTTGTTTGTTGTGGTTTTTTTGTTGTTGTGGTGATTTGTCGCGGTCGTGTGTGGTTGGGTACCAGTCTCGGCCAGGATCTCGGGCGCCACGTAGGTGGGGGTGCCGCACACCGTGTAGATCGGCCCCGTCACCTCCATGGCCAGGCCCAGGTCGGCGAGCTTGAGTGTCGTGCCGCCGTCCGCGTTGCGTTGCACCTGCAGTACAGAAAGCCGGTTTCCTACCCGTGTCGTTTGTTTTATTTTACACGCTTTTATTTAACTCACTCTGTCTGTTGTTGTCGCATCCTCGAATCTTGTAACTCAATTTTAACCCACTTCCCAATGTGGTATCGACTACAAACTTGGTATACGTATGCATACTGATGACAATACTATATTCTATCATAAAAAATAAAAACAATACTTTTAAACATTAATTTGTATATGTTATGTTTCGCTTTGGGTATAATTGTCCACGCTCAACTGACGTTGGCTGTAAATCACCACGGCCCCCTTACGTTATAGCAAGCCTCGGGGCCACTTCCTGGAGTCGTGGAGTTCTGCCATTACTCGTACGGTACATTTCATGAAAGCGTATTTTAAAAAAAAGTATTTTTAAATATTACTTATTGTTGTTGTTGAGAGGGTCTCTCGTTTGTCTCCCGCAGGCCAAACGTCTCGAAACAAGAATTGGTCAAGCAACGCGAGTCATAAGAATCGGTAAAAATTAATAAACAGAGGTTTGAAGACTTTTCCCACCTTTTTTCTTTTTTATGCAAGTGGAATATGGTAATTGATTACGCCTGTGACCAAATTAGCCTTTTCCCGCGAAGGTTAAATGTAACAAGGTACGTTTTAATCAGCAAACATTAATGAAACACCTGCAGGGTGCCAATTAGCGAGCGTGGGGTTACATTTGAGCCGTTTGTTATAAAAAAAATGGCCGATAATTTCACTCAAAATATAACCAGTGAAGATGAATGTCGATAATCAAATAAAACCTGGCAAGGACGTGGATTCCTGAACCTCCATGTCGGTTTGGCTGACACTGAAGAATGTAGTGCGGCCCATTTAGTGCATCGGCCCTGGCCCTGGCGAGTGTAAGGTTTTTGTTCATTAGCAGTGCATTGTCAAGGACCAAGGGCCCATTCAGCCCATCGAGATATACTCCAGCTTGCCAGACCACACTCTTGAGTGCTGTTCAGTCCTAAATAGCTGAGAGTAAACGACACCATGCATCATCAATCTCTAGCTGTGTCAGGTGACATTAATGTTAGCTGCTGTACGCTTCGGTGTGGAAATAAAAACTCCACAGATCTTAATTCGCACGTTGTTGTCGTGGTGATAATGCATTAAAAATACGGCAATGCACCGTGTGGATTTCTCAACAACCAAAAGGTCAAAGTGATTTCTGCTCGAAAGAGCATTGAGGCGGTGCTCATCTGTTTATATTCCTGAGCCCACAGTTGGACAATCTATGTTCCTATGGCGAGTCTATTCATCGGACGGTTGCTGACTTCCCCACAAAGTGGTACTGGTTTTTTGTATCAACCCCGGAACGATTGTGGGTCGAATCAACCCCAAACCTGGATTTGAACGTGCAACCTTCTGAATGTGAGCCGCTGTCTCCAACCGCTGATCGACGATGTATAAGGCGTCTATATCTGTACGGCAAGGTGCTGTATCGATATTGGTGGGGGGCGGGGGGGGGGTGAATTGAGAGGATGGCTATTTTGGGAGGGGGGGTGAAAGGAATGGGCTGAGTGGGGATCTGCAGGACTGAGGGAGAAGAGATGATGGTATGGTAAGGGGTGTAACTGAATACACTTCAGAGGAGGAGAGACAGCTCATAAGATGGTGCCGCAGTGATGGGAAGTTAACTCCCTCGCCTGGTATACAGGAGGTCGTGGGATCAATCCCGACCCTGACGCCTGTTGAGTTTGCGGTGTCTCCCAGTGGTCGTGTGGATTTTCCTCCGGGTCCTCCGGTTTTTCCCCTCCACATTTAAAATCAACATGCGTTTAGAGTATTTGGCTGCTATAAATATATATATATATATGATAAGCCACTTTGTTGAGCGATCATTTGTGATAGCCAGGTCGCTTCTGAAAAATAACTCTACAGCTCAGTGGGCCTTACCTGGAAAAATAATGAGTATAGGAGAAGAGGCTTTGAGCCAGCACTAGAACAGGTTCAACCAACAACCACATCGCAACAGATTTTTTCAAAGGAATCTCACCACGTCGGTCCAAATGGGCTTGCTCGTCGCTTAAATTACCCAAACAGTTTTTGTTTCAAGGAATGTGCTCTTTGCTACTGCTTTCGTAATGTGATGTTGGTTCGTATGCTTAAGCTGTGCCACTGAAAGGATATCCAAAACTGATGTGGTGGTCAGATTATACATTTAATGTTTACAGTGAGTACACAACGTGATGAAACCACAACATGTGAACCCCATAGTTTTTCGAATGGATCGTCTTTTAAATGATTTGTAATCAAATGGTGCATTTCAAATACCTTTCCCCTGTGCATACTGTACTTGTAAGATGTCTCAAAAGTCACCGAGTGTGTGTGCGTTTTATTTGGGGAACAGTAGCACATCAATCACACAATGCACTATGAACCTGGCAACCTTAGTTAAATTCCTTGCCATGGATGACATCAGTGGCTCATGATAGCACAACCTAAAAATAATAAACTTGGAGTATTGTGCCAACCTGGCGCTGGCCACACTACCGCCACAAGCGCTATGTCAGCCTTAATAGGTGCTCCCTTCTCCCAACGGTCTGTATATCATCTCTGCGGGGGGATCTTTGACTTGTGTTTTTTTAAGGTAAACGTGCCCTCAAATTGCGAGCCCATGCCACTGCTGACAGCTCTAGAGAGCCTCTTTAGAGGGTACTTGGCCTCCTCTTCCACGCTGGCCAGACATCTGGGATAATATGGGAGTACTCGCACTTTACCACACCACAGTTCACCTGCAGATCAACTAACTACGGTGTACCCAGAGGCCGATGGTGGGGCCGGTGACTTCTGGATTCACAAGTCTAGTGTGCGAGCCGTGACACCACACAGCAGCGTCCCCTTGTTCTGCGTGCGGTGTTACACCTTCTCTACAGCCCCTCCCACCCCGGCGCTGCCGGCCCCGGAAGGGAGCGGGGGGGGTCTCACCAGCAGGTTCTCGGGCTTGACGTCGCGGTGCACGATGTTGTTGGCGTGCAGGTACTGCAGCGCGCGGCACAGGTCGGCCACCATGGCGGCGGCGTGGCGCTCGGTGAAGCGCACGCTCTCCGTGATGGCGTCGAACAGGTCCCCGCCACGTACTGCGCTCGAGCACCAGGTAGGCGTCGCTGGGCGACTCCATGGCCTCCACGAGCCGCACCACGTTGGGGTGCTGGCCCAGCCGCGTGGTGAGCGCCACCTCGCTCCGCAGCATCTCCTCGCGGCCCACCAGCTTCGCCTTGTCGATGATCTTCATGGCCAGGTCCCACTCGGCTTCGCCCGCGGAGTCATCGCCCGCCGATACCCGTCGGCACTCCTTCACCGTCGCAAAGTTGCCGTCGCCGATGGTGCGCCCGATCTCGTAGCGGCTCTCGATGTCCTGGAGGCTCACGATTGGCATCGGCAGATTTGGGAACTTCTTGCTCTTCTTGTCTGCGTCGCCATCCTTTAATTTGTTCTTCGCTTTCCCCTTGTGTGGCGCGACGTTGCTGTTGTTGTGTCGATACTGCCTAGGTATTTCTTTGTCCGATTCTCCGTTCCAGTAATTTCTCACCGGAATCTCTGAGTCATCACCTTTTGTGCCAAAGTCTTTGTCTTTCTTGGGGTTTGCATCAGAGTCACTCCTCACTGTGCGTCTATCTCTGTCCTGCGGTAATCTCTCTGGCTTGTTCCCCTCATCCCTCTTGCTTTCATCTCTCTTTTTCTTCAGTTTCTTCAACTCCTCATCTAGGTCCCAGAGTTTCCCTACTCTGCTCTCATCCTCCGTCTGAGCCTCCTCCGAGCTGTCCTCCGCCCCACCATCCTTCAGCCTCGCCTGTCGCTTCTGCTCCAGCTCACGCTGCTCCCTCTGCCACCGATCCCGTTCCCACCGCTGCGCCTCCTCCCTCTCCCTCTGCTTGAACCTGTTTCGCTGCTTCTCCAAATTATCGACGTACACTTTGTGAGCGGCCGGCCCTTTCATCCTGGCAAATTCGGGGTCTAACTTCCTCCGTGCTTCGACTTCGAAGTCGCTGTCGTACTTGAGGACGACTCCGTCATTGACCCTGCGCAGCGGCTTGAGCGCTTTGTCGGGGCCCTTCTTGGTGGCCCCATGCAACTTGAGGCCGTCGCGGTGTGACACACGCTGGGCATACGGGTTCTCCGGGAACAGCTCCTCCAGCACGGCCTGCAGATCCTCCGATGAGGGTGGCTCCTTGCGCGTTGCGGCCAGGAACACGTCGTCGCCGCGGAAGAAGTCCGACACGGAGCGGGCCTCGCGGCCACGCAGCGTGTATAGGCGCCGCACGTGGTTGGTCCGCCACCGGGGCAGGCCCAGCGCCTCCGAGATGTCGCCCAGCAGTTCCTCGAAGCTCTGCGCCGCCCGCCGATTGAGCAGCAGCGTGATTCTCCTCCGCGGCCCATGCCCCCCGACCCGCACCACCGTGATTACCTTGGGCCTGGCCGGCACGTAGTTCTCCGGCCGGCGGAGGAAGTTTTGGCGGACGCCCTTGTCCAAACCATTAGACGCCGGAGCAGCCAGCGCTCGTTTGTCGCTCTGCCGGAGGCCGTTGTCCGACTGGGTGGCCTTCACTTCGTCCCGGCCTGCGATGCTGGGAAGGGTCTTACCAAACGCCGTGCGGCCCGTTGGGGGGTACGTGGCGCGCAGGCCGTTTTTCACGGAGCTTCCAACGGTCCCATTGTCTCCCGTGAGGCCACTGCTGCTGCTGAGCCGATCGTCAAGTGGGTGTCTCTGCCCTGCGAGACAAATCAGTGCATTATCAGACGAACCAATGGGTTACAGGCAAACCGGCATGTTATCGGAACAAACGCGCGTTTTACCAGTCAAACCAGCACAACACAGCACAATGTCATACAAACGACTGCGTTATCAGACACATCAGCGCATTATACCACACACCACCCGAGTTATTGGGGAAAGTAGAAAGAGAATGGCAAAACCTCACTTCGTCTGACTGAAACGTAGGAAAAACACACTTCAACGTTGTTGTGAAAGCAAACCCAACAGAACATCGTCACCTTTGCGTGCTTAATAAAAGAGCAGGTGTGAAGTGAAAGTGAACACAATGTCGTGTTGTCTAGAGCACCGGTTCTCTGCGCCCATCCCTGGGTTTCAACTCAACACCCAGGGCTCTTCGCACGGCGGGGTCGGCGCTCCGTGCCTGCGGGGTCGCCGCAGCGACACTGCGGCGTGTGCGGGGCTTTCTGCTAAACACATTTCCTGCTCCGGCTTCAAAGACTCCCCCTTCACAATCGTGTTGCTACAGGCTACGGTATCCCTGGTGCCTGCAGCCAAGCGATCAACTGGAAACAAATTTGGCGCGTCGCTTGTTATTGAGCAAGAGCTGTTGAGGACCAATTCTTTAGGGAGGAGACATTTTGTAAAATTAACTTTTTTTGTTGGAAAGGACAGGCACTTTGTCAGTTACCTTTTGTGCTTGAATCTTGTAGAGCGAGCACTTTCCTCGATGCCCCGAGCAATATATGGTGAAATTATAATCTGTCATGAGTAGATCGTATTTATTCGCTTAGTTTTATAAATGTACCTATTATTCCCTTTTTATAGTGTAATCATGAAATTCGTTATCACCATTATGATACGGGTGTGTTCCTGAATTCATCGAATTCTAAATTGTATTTGTCCGACAGAGGTAAATTAAGTCTTTTTAACTGGGGCAGTGATGCACTTGAACGTGCTGAGCAGACGTGCCATGAAAATAACTTAAATCACATAAAAAAAAGTATGGGACACTTGCACAAACAAAGCTCACGCAACGGGTGAATCGGAACCACAGCAGGATTTGAAAGGTTTCTTTTAAAGGAGCGCGTCACTCTAAATTCAGCCGTCGGCCTCAGCACGGCATCTTTTGTTGGCTCGTTTTGTAAGCGAGCAAATTAAGGATGGCTTTTTTCTCGTCCCTTTATGCGCACCGTTTACGGAGCGCCCCAAGTGGCGTCGCGGCAAGGAGGTGCCCGGCCGATCTGTCACTCTCGACGAGCCCAATAAAGCCAGAGTTACCGTGGTGACGCCGAGACGTTCGCCAGGAAGTTTCATCCCGACGAGCACGCCGGCGCTCATCTTTGTCATCGACCGCCCACTCCCCGCCACCTTCCCTTTCTCAGTTTTGCACAGCACGGAATACCCCACGCACACATACCCCCCCCCCCCCCCCCCCACGAGTCGGTTTCACCGAAAACAAAGATCCTTTGTTTCTGTTTTAAAGACTGTTTGGGCAGGTGCTGTTAGCAAGCACCATTTAAGGCTGGCATGACGCATGAGAGAGTAGAGGGGCCAGCGCCATCCCTATGCCGCCTTTGTCTTCCCAAGTGCTGAGGTTCACCCTGCTACCCCAGATACTCATTGAAGGCCGAGTCGACGAGAAGTGGGCAGGGCCCAAGACGGATACAGATACAACTTGCCCCCGGTGTGCATGGCCAGGAATCGCAATTGTTTCGCAGGGATCGTGTTGCGGTGTGAGAATCACTACAGCACCGCATCGCTCCCCACGTCCACGAGCGCGCACACAGAGCTTGTTAACAGAGCGAGCAGTGCTTTACATCCCACCGCCTTCATGGAAAGGACCAGATAAGTCATCCATTCAGCGATGCCATTGTGGGCTTGACGAACAATGTATACACGAATTGCAGCGTGTCTGCATGCATCAGCGAACCTCAATATCAATTGTGTCGCTTGTTGCTGGTGGCATTTTGGTGTTCAACAAATACATTTTCTGCAAATATATTTTACAAACTAAAAATTCCATGTGGTGGCGGATTGGGGAGGCCTTCATCCAGCAGTGGATTGACCATGTCTGATAATGATGATGAATCCCATACTGTTGACGCCCCACATGTTGCAGTTATAGCTCAAAACCTATTTATTTTTGGATAAAACTCGCCCATCAACAACCATGAAACACAGCTACTCATGCGCACATTTTGATCATTGTCTTCACATCGTTGTGTATAACGCATACACCATCAGCCAAAGGAATATCACAGGTGCAATTTGAAGTGAATCTGTGTATATTCGAGATATGTTTCATATTTACAAAAACAATTCTCATTAAAATTTTTAAGGTCAATTTCGTAACTTTTTCGGATAGTTTACATCATGTACTCATGAAAAATATCTTCGTGCTGACAACACTGATGTCAAAATCATAATATTTATACTGGAGGAATCCGATGAGCGAAAACGCTTTTTTTCACGGATGTCACCAGATGCCCCATGACAGGTCAGTGGTGTCACTTCCGGTTTCTGGATCATTCCGAAACAAAAAAAATCCGAGTCGTTCAAAGTTTCGCATCTTGGCCGGATTTTGGGATTTTGGGGAGTGATCCAAAATCCAAAGAACATCCCTCGCATGTTCGTATATTTGAAAACAATAGTGACGGAAATGTCCGATATCGTCAATGCAATTTTACAAAACAGCTTGCGCATTAGAATTGTATTTTATAATTGTATCCACATCAAGGCCGTATCCATGGAGTCAACATTGGGGGGAACCAAATCTATTTTATAGCAATATATTTGGGGGGGGGGGGACATTTTGAGCATATTTGAATAGATATTATAATTACGGCCTTGATCCACATACACTCTCCAAGAAAAAAAAAATCCCAATCAGGACACTCCTAGAAAAGTGCATTTGGACCCAGCTGAGCCGCTCCTGAATACATAACATATTAAAATCATACATTTGTATACCAAAGCATAAATAAATATTTACATTGAAATAGTTTAAAATGACATTACTGCTGAAACCAGATTTAATTGAGCCCTATGGCATTGCAACAAATAATATGCACATAAATTTGTACGTAACTCACTCCCAGCACGTGGAGCAAAACATCAGACAGCGTGCCAAAATACACGCAGCACAAGTCGAAAATCCATGGGAGATCATTACAGCACAAACACAATAAGCTACAGAGTAGTGATATAAAAAACATGTTGAGGTTTTAATATAATCCACAAGTGCAAAAATGCTGCTCAAAACTCAAAGAAAGCACTTACTCTTCTTCCCCCAGATGTACTTCTTCAGCACCGGCTCACAGGGACAAGAGTCATTCAAGCTGGGCATCGCTCAGCTCGACGCAGCGACCGATCCTGCGATCACAACCCAAGGAGGTCCTCCTCCGAGCAGGGCTCGGGTAGAGGCGCCCAAGGAGACGGCACTGGCGCCCGTCACATCGCTCCCACCCTTCGTGGCGTCGCCGCTATCGCATCGGCGCTGCCTCGTCGATGTCCGTGAGGGATCATTGTGCCCTGGGCGCCTGGCTAGCGAGTCAAGAACCCCACGACACGACACGCCACCACCTCCCCCCCCCTCTTGTCTCCCCTCTGGCAAGAGTTGGTGGGAGGAGCCTCAAGCAATTCACTCGCCAGCAATGTCCCATTCCAACTGCGCACCTTGCCAACATCTTGGGCTTCTCTTGACTTTTGTTGTCAATTGGAAACTTTCTCTTTAAGCCAAATTTAGGCACAAGGCTAGCGTTAGTATTGTTAGCTCAACGCTATACTTTTCATGTGAAATGTAGTTTAAGTTCCTAATAAATTGCGTGAAGACGAAAGTGTGCAGTTTTTTTACAAATACATATTTAGCTCTGGTCCCTTTATTTAAATAATAAAACAAATTGGGGGAGGTGAGCCCGGTTGACACTTGAGGACATAGCGAGGAGCTGAGCCCCATGGGGGCCGGTATTTTTGTGTTGGATCTCCGTGGCAACACGGCCCCTCGTCTCCTCGCTGTGGATCTCAAGGGCCCTCGGGCCGCTCTTGTGCTGCGGCTGCCTCGAGAGGGGCCGGGCCCAGGAGCCTTGCAACCCCTCCCTGTGCACGGCCCTCCGATTGCAGAGACGCGCGGGGCCTCTGCTACCGCGTGGTGGCACTGCGCGTGCAGCAGCAGCCACAGGACACAGCATCGCCCGCGGGCGTCGCGGACAACAACCGTCGCACCGATGTCATCTCACTTGGCGATGTTTCTCGGGGTTTTTTGCTGTTGCAGCAAATCTTTACAGAGGTGGGGTTTTTTGTTTTCTTCTTCAGACATCAATGGGAAGGCCCTGGGATATGTTTTGGTTAAATATGAAACACGAGGGCTCTATCTGCTATTGGGATAAAGGGGCATGGCAACCTTTCACCAACCTTTCATGCTCTGCTGTCTCCATAGAAGGCTTACTTTGATAATAAAAAAAAATCTGTCCGACTGTAGGCTTGATTTTTTACATTCGGATTCTGACCGCGTTCTAGTTTATCTCACCGTTGTATCAATCTATTTTCTATTTAGTCAAAGGTCAGTATCTTCTTGGAGCCCTGAGTCTGGAGTGCAACATTCCACATTCCTATGGTAGAAGCCACCTTCTCTAAATGTCCATCGCTATTGTTGAGTTCCCATGGAGTTATACTTATTTTATGATCCCAGGAAGCTAAGTTGATCCCCAACAGGATTTTAACTCAGCTTTCAAATTCCTAGTCAAGCATTTGAACTAACCTCGGCGCAACCTGATGAATTATGCCGCTGAAAATAAGAGCTCAGCGATTCTGTTTTATTTAAAGCAATTTTTCACACTTTGAGATGCAGTCAGTTCGTATGAAAGCAGCAGCGATCGCATCGGTCTGAATAATCAGTTGAGCGAGGTGTACGTGAGGCAGCACACACGACTGGACCACCCCTGACAACAACAAAAAACAAAACGCCATCAATCACCGCCACCCGGCAGTGAGACGCAATACAGACGTCACTCAACGCTGCGATCCCTGAAACAGCGAGACCTCGGCGACCATTCGTGTGGCACTAAAGGGAACAAAAGGGGCCACCCAAATGATTGGAAACCCCTCGCGGGAACGCAGACGGGCACCTCTGGGAAGGGAGCGTGAAATGGGCTTCTGGGGCTGCGTGCTGGGCTGACCAGGATGTGCTGGGGGGGGGGGGGGGGCTGTGAGCTGAAAATTAATGCTCGGGCTCACAATTGCTCCGTGGAGACGCCTATCAGCCGTGCACCGGTGCCTGCTGTGCGATCGGCCTACCACGGGATGTCGAGATGTTGCATTATTCAGTGTGTTATCATCGCGCTCATTGTGGCACCGCCACGAATGAAAAGAGCCTTTCAATTAAAATGGAACATTCTCCATGCGAAATCCGATGTACTGTAACACGACGACTTACATAATTACCTTACGGTAATCGACGCTACCCTTTAAATGACAACCATAAAACAATTTGTGTACATTTTTCCCGCCTATTATTTTTGACAAGTGTAATTATTGTCATGCTATAAAAAGTCAAGTCAGAGTTATTTCCTGCTCAAAATAACGTTGAGGCAGTGTTCATCTTCTGTGTACAGCCTTGAGTCAGAGTTGGAAATTCTGCTATCCTGTGGCGGGAGCGAGTTTATGCATTGGACCATCACAATGTGTTAACCATTGTATCAACGCCTGAGAGATGATTGGTTGAGTTAACCCCCGAAGAGGATTTAAACTCGCAACCTTCCGATTGCAAGCCGTTTGTTCGACTACTGAGCCACCTTGCCGGGTAGTTCAGTCGTAAAAGAAATAAAAAGTGATCGTTTAATTTCAGAGCATAAGCGCAGTGAGACTGAAGTTTCATCTGTACAAGGGGCTCATGGCTGTCACTTGGGTTACAACATTTGAGACATATCTGACTCTGTGCCGAACCTCACTCAATTGGACACCAGTGGCAGTGGTGGCCCCGTGGTGTTGACCCACAGAAGCGTGAGCACAGGACCTCGTGTGACGGTGACGTGAACACAAAGCAATGTGGTGTTACTACAAAGAATCTGACCACCATTGTGCCTCAGGAGAAGTGATCACTGGGGGTGGTGGTGATTGCGAGGAGCAGGGAGAATGGGAGATGACGTCGACGGGACGCAGACCCAGCAATAGAATTCTGATAATAAGGTTTTCCCCCTTTTTTCTGGCAACAAAACAGGTGTTAAGATGTTAACATACTCTGATAATATATGCATTGTCCTTGAAACTAATTGGTCCACACCAGAGTCAGCTTTATTTTGAGCCTCGTCTCAAACAGTGTTAGACCAGAAGACGCCAAAAGGCGTTTGAGACGAGGCTCAAAAGAAAGCTGTCTCTGGTGTGGACCAATCAGTTTCAAGGCACAATGCATATATTATCAGAGTATGTTTTTTGTTTGCATTCTGACCGCAAGCATTGTGGTTAATGCAGATACGATTCCTCGTAAAAGGTTTCAGTTTGATGTTTTAACATCTTAACACCTGTTTTGTTGCCAGAAAAAAGGGGAAAACCCTATTATTATATTTTGGTACTGGCAAAGGGGGTCCAATGATGAAATTGAATTATGCTCAATCATAACCCGGCCCCTTGCGTGGGGTCTTCACGAGCCAACCAAGGAGCATAGAAGGGCAGTGGCTTTGCCGTCTGTAGCCCCGTTAGCAGGACACTGCCTCGGGGCTCCCATTAACACAACACTGCCTCCGTATTAACACAGTACTGCCCATGTGTCCATGTGAACACAACACTGCCTCTGTGCCCACATTAGCGAAGCACGCACTGCCTCTCTACCAAAGCCTGGAAGAACTTTAACATCACAAGATTCAACGAGCCACAGTTTCGTGCGATGTCGTTGGGCGGATCTATAATATCAGGAAAATGTATGACAGCGTGGGACGACATTGTGTAATTCTAGATTTGAAGCTTTCGTGACTGCAAGGATTTATATTCTTAGGTTTTGTCGGTAAAGTCACGTAGGTAAAAAAATTTAATTACTAAAAGTAAAATGAAACAAAATAAAAGAAAATAAAAAATCACGACGTTTCGGAAGCAACACAAGCCTCCGTCTTCAGGTGGAACCGTCACAGCCACGACAGCTGTATCAAGTAAATGAGAGATCACAAGAAATACCACCCCGTATATATAATGGTTGAGGGGGGAAGGGCCAGGAACGGCACACCTTTTATTAATATGGTAAGGTGAGGCTTAAGACTAAGAATAGACTGCATAACAAAGGACTGAGCCTTTGTTATGGAGAGGTGCGGTTTGTAACTAACACCTAGCATACATAACAAAAGTGTGAAAAAAGAAAGCAAGTAAAAACTAAAACTGGTAAAACAACAAACTGGCTGTCTATCAATAACCTGTAATAGTTGTCTGTCAAATAAGATGGTCCAAATAAGTGTAGTTACATCTTTTTTGCATGGTTAATCACATCTTTCCAATGATTACTCAGTTTGTAACCCTCATCACGGTTGAAATTATGTCTGTGTTTGTCTATTTGTATGGCTTCGTGTACAAACCTTTGACATTGTGTAACTTATTAGTGCAGTTGTCATGTTTAGAGTTAATTTCATCATATTTTCACCGATTGGAGAATCTGCATCACTTTCAATGCTGACCCTGCTCATACTCGCCAAAATCTGTGGGTAGTAAAGTGACTCCGAATTTGCTATTTGGGTCAGATCACGTGAGTAGAATAAGTATGTGTTATGTAGCACACATCCTCCACCCGACAATGTAAAATAAAAAAATTTTACTTCAACGTTCCTGTTGCGTAATAATAAACCTGATATTCTAAAAATATATAGGGAATTGTGAGCGATGTAAATGTTACTGAGGTTGCTTATTCCTCGAAAAATCCTTAAAACCAAACTGTCGAAATTTAAACCTCCGAAAATTAGTGCCCAGTCGTTGATTGGTTTCACCCATAAGGCCGGAGTCAGCATAAAATTCTAACGTTGCTTTAAGTCTCGTGCTGAACACTTAAAAATATAAAAATTCTCATTATCAGTTAACCAAATTAATTTGCCTCTAGTGGAATGTGCCACTAAATCTGAAAAGCAGACAAATCCCACTACTGGGTACCAGTATCAATTCTTTTTGGGTTTTCCCCTTGCGGACCCATTCATGTGCATATCTCTTGCCATCTGAATCTGGCAAAAAGATTCACCTGGTATCATTCATATACATATTTAATCGTCTTCCAATCAATATATTGACCAGGTGAGAACACGATAATACAGTACTGTACATCTTTCAATCAGGACAGATCTCTGAACATAGACTCGTTAATATCAACACCCAATTACCGAATGATTTATGTATCTAGGCCAGAGCCCAACGCGACGGCACATAGCCCATAGGATCGACAGAGATATCGAATTTGTTGGTACCACCCGTTCTCGAGTAAAATTTCATGGGGAACCAATTTATTTACATGGCCAATAAACTAAAATTATGCAATAAACTTTTCAAATAAATCAACAAATCACACTATTAACTTATGTTGGCCATAAGAGGAAGTTGATGACCGCTAAAGGTGTGGCTTCTTAGATGGAACATGTTTATACTCTTGCACATAGAATAAGCCACTGTACACAATAGAGTCACGGCTACAGACAGTACTTATTCCGGGAACTATTCAGACACATCACAGCCATTCTATGCACAACTTTTTATAACCAGTTTAGTTTTTTAATTAGATATAAAGCCTGTTGATACGAACATCAAGTTCACAAAAATATTATTGTACCCTGGTAGTGCCTTAACGCGATTACCCTGACTTAAAACCAGCCTCGCAGCGTTCCAGAAAATATCCAGTGACAAATTGACTCCTGGCCATCATCACTGCGATGGGGGAGGGGGTGTGATAGCCATACCTCTCCAGCGGGGTAGCCTGCCCCCGGCGGCATCGTTAGCCCCGTACTTGACGCTTCGGAAAGGCTCGAAGGAAGCGCACACGTACGCCTCCCCATCTCGCAGCGCTTCCACGGAGCCCGCCACGGGGGACCCCCCCAGTGGGGTGTAGAGACGGCGCACCCCGTAGGGCAGCGGCACGGCGCGGGACAGGTCCGCCAGCAGCTCGGGCCAGCTTACGTAGCGGTGCGGAGTGATGTGCAGCGTGCGCGCTCGGAAGTAGCGGTCCCCATTGCGGTAGAAGCGCACCACCTTGGGTCGGCGCAGGTCCCGGTAGCGCTCGTCCGTGAGCTCGCGAAGCTCCTGGGAGCCCCCCGCGGCTCCACCAGCGGCGCCGCCGGGGGCTACGGCCTCGTCCGCCTTCTTGCCGTGCGCCATGCCGCCCTCGCCCAGGGCGCTTTATTATTCAGATGCGCCGCGCCACGCGTAAATGAATCCACGAGTGTCGCGTTGGCGTTGAGCTCTGTCATTAACGCTCAGCTCATAGCGTCCGCCCGTGGGGGAGGCGCGCTCGTGTGCGTGTGCAACGGGGGGGGGGGGGGGGGGCTGTTGATTGCGGCGTTTGTTGTTGTTTTTGCTGAGATCCGTTCTCGATCAAACAGGCGGTCACAACAAGTGCAGGCGACGATGCGGTTACCACCTGCACGAGAGCGATAACAGAGCCATGCGGTCAAATGTATTTATTGATGGTATGAGTTTAATCTCACTCTACCAGTGACATATATATACCCACTGAAGGGGAACACGTAATAGTTGACAATACACAGTCGTAGATGGTAACAAATTAAGTCACGTGAAATGAAAATCAAAGGTGATGAGCACAACAACACAAGGCGGTGTGGGTAATTTGTATGCCGCCGTTTAATGCGCAGACGCGGTTTTAACTCAAATTGGATGTCCGGCACAAGCCACGATCACCAGGAGCGTCTCCTGAAGACTCTGGAGAAGAACAGGCGAACACGCGCGCAAGTTTAACCAGCAAGAAAGCTGAACTAACGCTTAGATAAATCAAAGAGCCTTTTTTTCGGGGTGGTAGTGGATTTGTGATCGTCTCCGCGGTGTGTGATGGATGCTCACGCACGGAAAGTGGTTATCTTTTTCAGCGGACTGCCAGCGCGACCTGCGAGCGTGCGGCGCCCCCGCTGATGGAGATGTATGAGCCGACACGATGTTTATACCTGCAACAGCTTCCGAAGGAAAGACCACTGGCAGGAGCTCCAGACAAGCGGGTGGCTCTGATCCAAGGCGCGAGCACAGTGTGCGCGAGATTTCACGAGCCCCCCCCCCATAGGCAAATACCCAATCTTCTGGGGCAACGAATTCACGGTGAGCAGTTACGGTAACGTGGTCGGCAGTGACAGAGAGCGATGGCGTTTTGTTAGAAAACAATATAAAATGATGCGGTCACTACTGCCGGTGAAATTGCCTGGTGCCATCATTGTCCTTCAACCAGAGGTCGTGAACCATGAGCGCTCAGTGACCACTACCAACCGCATGCTTGATCTCGACACCACGTCAATAGAACAGCACGGCGCGATGCCCTGACACTACACGGCGGGAGAGTGACACCGTCCCCCCACACCCCCTCCCAACACTCACCGGGACAGCGCCGCTGACTCCACCGCGCGTCGCGTCTCGTCCCAAGCGCTTCTCGCGGGGACTGAGGAGTCACCGACGGAGAGTCCTCGACCATGGCGCCCCGCAGCGTCCATCGCGACGACCAAAGCGGCGGCCCTGGGAATACGCACCCCCACCCACCCCTCCCCCTAGACTCCCTCTCTCCCAGGATCTCATCGCCCGTCCCCCGCCCCACTAACCTCGCGGCTCAAGCCGAGCCGGGTGCGCAGTGGCTCGCAATGCACGGAGTGGAATTTTCTGGTGGAATGGGACTGGAACAGAGCGGAGCGGCGGGCTACGTTCCATATCCACGTTGACGCAGAGTGCGCCGCGATGAAGTTGTGCGGCTCTTGCGCGCGCCTACGTCGAGCGAGAGATGCGACCGGTTTGCGCGCCGTCTCACCATGCACCCCCGCAGTGGTGATTGCGAATAGGGTTTATGAGCAGTTGCAGAGGCAGGAAGAGGAATATATGGACTGTGCAAATGAAATACATCATCGTGGCTGTTTTAAAAACAAAAACAGTGGGATTGAGCAGGATACGTCGCGAACTGCCCAGTGATCGAACCGGAGAGCGCACGTTCTGCGGAGATGGAGCGATGAAATAATCTCGTGTGCGGGTGGATTGTCGCATCGTGAGGCCGTCAGAGATGGCCACTGCTTGGTTAGGCCTTCAGCCAGCAGTGGATTGTTCATGGCTGATGAAGATGATGATGACGATGCTCTAGCAAGATGAACGTCCTTCTTAAGCAACGCGCGCGAGTGGCAGTAGCGGCTGGCGACGGGGGCTGGGAGATGAGCAGTGAGCGACAGCCGTGCGGGGCACGGGGTCGCTTGTACGGTGGTGTCTGTGTGGTCGGGTTGGCGCACTGCGCTACGAACCCGGCGCCCGAGTTCGATTCCTGCTCATGGCCAGCAGCGAATACCTGAACCGGTTCTGGGTCTCCCATAGGTCGACTCAGCCTTAAATTCGTAACTGCACCGGGCAGACGAAGCTGCTGGCCTACCACCCCTTCGTGTGCCGTGCCCGCCTTAATCGGGGTTGCAAACAGCACTTCGCCAAATAGTCTGTTAAGGCTACACAGGGGAATCTTCGTCTTTGTGTGCGTGAGAGAGATGGAGTGGGTCTCGGTGGTGGGAGTAGCGAGTGGTTACACCAGTGCCGAGTATCTGAACCGGTCCTGGGCCTCTCCTAGGTCGACACAGCCTCAAATGAGTATCTGGTGCGATGTTTAAACATCGCCAATAGGGAGACAAAGGCTGCCGGGTGTGGTGCTGGTCACCCACCCCTCGTATACCGTGCCGGCCTTCATAGGTGCTGCTAGCGAACAACATTTGCTCCAACAAGTCTGTTAAGGCAATACGGGGGGGTCTTTGTCTTGCAGGTGATCTCTTTATTACCGAATGTCTCTGTGGTGGTGGTGGTGGGGGGGGGGGGGGTCTGTGTGGCGTGCAGTGTATGTGTGTCTGGTGGAGGGGGGATCTGTGTGGCTGGAGAGCGCGTCTCCGCGTCTCTCACTCATGCTGGACAAACACTCCACTGCTGCTCCTCGCTTTCATTTGCACCGCGCTGGGCGACTCGAACATGCCCCGACCACTTGGCCGCGCGCACTCGTGGGCGCCCTCCTGGCGGCTGCGAGAGCGCCGCTCGAGTCCCCGCGCGGAGGATGTTTACCTGGTTGGGGGGCACAGCTCCTCGCCCCCCCCCCCGGCTCCCTGGAACCATTGCTGGCGCTGTAGGGCAGCGTGGAGGTAGGCGGCCGAGTCAATGCCGCATGCGGAGTATGTCAAATTCAGCCAAACCCCCCCCCCCCTAAACTCAGCCAAACCCCCCCCTAAACTCAGCCAAAACCCCCCTAAACTCAGCCAAACCCCCCTAAACTCAGCCAAACCCCCCTAAACTCAGCCAAAACCCCCCTAAACTCAGCCAAACCCCCCCCCTAAACTCAGCCAAAACCCCCCTAAACTCAGCCAAAAACCCCCTAAACTCAGCCAAACCCCCCTAAACTCAGCCAAAACCCCCCTAAACTCAGCCAAAAACCCTCTTAAACTCATCCAAAACCCCCCTAAACTCTGCCAAAACCTCCCTAAACTCAGCCAAAACCCCCCTAAACTCAGCCAAAAGCCCCCTAAACTCTGCCAAAAGCCCCCTTCATATGCGCATCTCCGGTGTCTTCCTCCTCCCACTTCCAGAAACGCCCCCCCTCCATCTCTCCTCCCTGGCTCCTCCCCCGTCTCTTACCTATATAGCCCCTTGTTACAGCAGTTCTTTTGACAACTTCAGCATTTGTTTCGTGCTTTGGTTGTCCCACCTGATGACGGACGCTTGTGCTGCGCCCGAAACGTCGTGATTTATTAAGAATATGCAAATTTTTACCTGCCAGCCTTTTGATTGGTGGAAAAACACCACTGCCGCAGTCGCTGCCCACCACTTGCATTGGCTGCTGACACAAACATTTTGTCTTTAGGAGCGAACCTCCGTTTTCCTGATGACGACCGCTTGTGTTGTGATCGAAACGTCGTAGTTTTTGGGTATTTTGTTATTTTCTTTGAACCTATCTACGTGAATTTACCGAAAGACCCAAAGAATATTAATTCCTGCAGTCACGAAAGCTTTAAGTCAAGATTTGATTTTAGTCGTTTCGATACACGTATTCGTCGCACATTTCAGGCACGCATCCCCGACGTATACCCGGATATTGCTGTATACGTTTCCTTTGGAGGCAGTGCTATTTACGAATTTGTTAAGTTCTTTGTTATTGTGACTGCAGGGATTCATCTTCTTGGTTCTTTCGGTAAAGTCACGTAGAAGGGAAGTAATAAAATAATAAAAATAAAACATAATAAAACAATTCTCACGACGTTTCGGCCACAACGCAAGCAGCCGTCCTCAGGTGAAAACCAGGTCCGTCGAGGCGACAGAGTCTGAATGAAACAGCACACGAGCTTGGAGCATATATATAAGCTGGGCGCATTGACAAAGGAATTTGCATATCAAAAGGAATTTAGCATATTTATGGGAAATGCAGGAATGTGATTAGTACTGCATATGCATGTGCATTATGCAGGATTAACAGCATCAAAGGGAGCTGCAGTTACTGCTGCTGCAGTTGCTGCTGCAGTTTCTGCTGCTGCTGCAGTTGCTGCTGCTGCTGCAGTTGCTGCTGCTGCACTTGCTGCTGCTGCTGCACTTGCTGCTGCTGCTGCAGTTGCTGCCTTATCCATTTTAATATAACACTATGTATTATTCTACCCACACTAATGTGTATCATACTGCTATATGTTTACTGTACAATTACGACACCATACATTACTCTGCACACTGCACCATGCCAGTGAGTGGAACGCGGTCTGAAAGTCACCGTAAACGTGAACACAATCAGTTAAGATCCGAAATGGTTTATTACGTCCTTCCAATGATTGCTAAGCCAGAATCCATCTTCTCGGTTGAAATTGTCTCTGTGTTTGTATATGTGGATCGCCTCATGAACGAATCTCTCATGATAGCCAGATGGCTTGCAGAGAACCTCTGTCTTGGAGAAGTCAATGTCATGTGAGCCCACTGAATTGTAACAGTGATCTGCCACGGCTGAGGTGTTTGTCCTACCGTGTTTCAGGTCTGCCTTATGTTCACGGATGCGGTCCGAGACATGTCGTTTGGTTTCTCCAATGTAACTGCTACCACAGAGGCAACTTAGTTTGTAGACGCCAGGGTACTGTATGTCTGGAACCACATCTTTTACAGACGGGACCAGATCACGGATTTTATGTACTGTGTTGAATCGGACCTGGATCTTGTGTTTAATCAGGATTTTGGAGATCTTTTTTGTGACCCCAGCAATGTAGGGTAAGGTGATGGTCTTGAAAGGCTCCTCAACAGGATCCTTCTTGATGGTTGGAGTGATGGCTTTGCGGATTGTGT